CAGACACAATGAAAAGAAGAAATCCCGTATTGGAAGTAGCCTAGAAAGTCCAACTTAATAGAAGAACATACTTTTTGAAAGTAGAAAGGACATGTTATAGGCTTTCAGTAAAACTTTAGCAGCAACACTTTAGTATGGCATGTATAAAGTTTATTGCGCCGTTTTATAACCCTATCCAGTATTTTCAGTCAGTTGGTTTCCGCTCCAGTAATTTAGGCCTGAGTGGAGGTGCCTCCCGCACTGCCTGGCCAAACAGCCAGACATAGAATCACAATGACTAGAATGGACTAGATCTAAAATCCACTATCCACCGAATGACACAGTAGAATTTGCCATTTGTGCATGTGTAGTAGAACTTTGAGAAAGGCACAATAAAAGAAGAGATGATGTAGTTGGCATCAATTAATCGAACATTTTAAAAAAATACTGGGCCTTCCTACACCTAATATGGCTCCCGGTGTAGGCCCACCCACTACCCACCATGGACCGCTACTTTGGGAATGTCTATTCTACTAATTCTAATTCTACAATGGCCCCAGCCATAGCAACCCCTGTTTCTGCCAAAGCATGCATCAGCCAGTCAAAAGCCAGGGTAGCCACGAAGCTAGCAACACACACTATACTACTAATGAAGGACTGAATACACTTACAGGAGTGTGCACTTCATGTACACACACACACACACACACACACGCAAGAACAGAGGGTGTAAATGAATTTGAGCAGCAGATTGAGGAGTGGAACAGTACTGTAGCATACTGATGCTGTAGGGCCTTCAGTAGCAGATTGAGGAGTGGAACAGTACTGTAGCATACTGATGCTTTAGGGCCTTCAGTAGCAGATTGAGGAGTGGAACAGTCCCTTAGCATACTGATGCTGTAGGGCCTTCAGTAGAAGATTGAGGAGTGGAACAGTCCCTTAGCATACTGATGCTTTAGGGCCTCCAGTAGCAGATTGAGGAGTGGAACAGTACTGTAGCATACTGATGCTTTAGGGCCTTCAGTAGCAGATTGAGGAGTGGAACAGTACTGTAGCATACTGATGCTGTAGGGCCTCCAGTAGCAGATTGAGGAGTGGAACAGTCCCTTTGCATACTGATGCTGTAGGGCCTTCAGTAGAAGATTGAGGAGTGGAACAGTGATGAACTGTACTGTAACATACTGACGCTGAGCGGATGGTCGGGGGGCCGGAACATAATTAAGCATTAAGGCTCGAGGGGGTGTGGTATGTGGCCAATATACCACGGCTAAGGGCTGTTCTTATGCATGACGCAACGCGGACTGCCTGGATACAGCCCTTAGCCGTGGTATATTGGCCATATACAGTGAGGGGGAAAAAAGTATTTGATCCCCTGCTGATTTTGTACGTTTGCCCACTGACAAAGACATAATCAGTCTAATTTTAATGGTAGGTTTATTTGAACAGTGAGAGACACAATAACAACAACAAAATCCAGAAAAATACATGTCAAAAATGTTATAAATTGATTTGCATTTTAATGAGGGAAATAAGTATTTGACCCCTCTGCAAAACATGACTTAGTACTTGGTGGAAAAACCCTTGTTGGCAATCAGAGGTCAGACATTTCTTGTAGTTGGCCACCAGGTTTGCACACGTTTCAGGAGGGATTTTGTTCCACTCCTCTTTACAGATCTTCTCCAAGTCATTAAGGTTTCGAGGCTGACGTTTGGCAACTCGAACCTTTAGCTCCCTCCACAGATTTTCTATGGGATTAAGGTCTGGAGACTGGCTAGGCCACTCCAGGACCTTAATGTGCTTTTTCTTGAGCCACTCCTTTGTTGCCTTGGCCGTGTGTTTTGGGTCATTGTCATGCTGGAATACCCATCCACGACCCATTTTCAATGCCCTGGCTGAGGGTAGGAGGTTCTCACCCAACATTTGACGGTACCTGGCCCTGTCCATCGTCCCTTTTGATGCGGTGAAGTTGTCCTGTCCCCTTAGCAGAAAAACACCCCCAAAGCATAATGTTTCCACCTCCACGTTTGATGGTGGGGATGGTGTTCTTGGGGTCATAGACAGCATTCCTCCTCCTCCAAACACGGCGAGTTTAGTTGATGCCAAAGAGCTCCATTTTGGTCTCATCTGACCACAACACTTTCACCCAGTTCTCCTCTGAATCATTCAGATGTTCATTGGCAAACTCCAGACGGCCCTGTATATGTGCTTTCTTGAGCAGGGGGACCTTGCGGGCGCTGCAGGATTTCAGTCCTTCACTTTTTTTCTTGGTGACTATGGTCCCAGCTGCCTTGAGATCATTGCCAAGATCCTCCCGTGTAGTTCTGGGCTGATCCCTCACCGTTCTCATGATCATTGCAACTCCACGAGGTGAGATCTTGCATGGAGCCCCAGGCCGAGGGAGATTGAATAATCGCACCAACTGTTGTCACCTTCTCACCAAGCTGCTTGGTGATGGTCTTGTAGCCCATTCCAGCCTTGTGTAGGTCTACAATCTTGTCCCTGACATCCTTGGAGAGCTCTTTGGTCTTGGCCATGGTGGAGAGTTTGGAATCTGATTGATTGATTGCTTCTGTGGACAGGTCTTTTATACAGGTAACAAACTGAGATTAGGAGCACTCCCTTTAAGAATGTGCTCCTAATCTCAGCTCGTTACCTGTATAAAAGACACCTGGGAGCCAGAAATCTTTCTGATTGAGAGGGGGTCAAATACTTATTTCCCTCATTAAAATGCAAATCAATTTATAACATTTTTGACATGCGTTTTTCTGGATGTTTTTGTTGTTATTCTGTCTCTCACTGTTCAAATAAACCTACCATTAAAATTATAGACTGATCATTTCTTTGTCAGTGGGCAAACGTACAAAATCAGCAGGGGATCAAATACTTTTTTCCCTCACTGTATGGATGAATGTACAGTTGAAGTCGGAAGTTTACATACACCTTAGCCAAATACATTTTAAACTCAGTTTTTCACAATTCCTGACATTTAATCCTAGTAAAAATTCCCTGTTTTAGGTCAGTTAGGATCACCACTTTATTTTCAGAATGTGAAATGTCAGAATAATAGTAGAGAGAATGATTTATTTCAGCTTTTATTTATTTCATCACATTCCCAGTGGGTCAGAAGTTTACATACACTCAATTAGTATTCGATAGCATTGCCTTTAAATTGTTTAACTTGGGTCAAACATTTCGGGTAGCCTTCCACAAGCTTCCCACAATAGGTTGGGTGAATTTTGGCCCATTCCTCCTGACAGAGCTGGTGTAACTGAGTCAGGTTTGTAGGCCTCCTTGCTCGCTTTTTCAGTTCTGCCCACACATTTTCTATAGAATTGAGGTCAGGGATTTGTGATGGCCACTCCAATAACTTGACTTTGTTGTCCTTAAGCCATTTTGCCACAACTTTGGAAGTATGCTTGGGGCCATTGTCCATTTGGAAGACCCATTTTCAACCAAGCTTTAACTTCCTGACTGATGTCTTGAGATGTTGCTTCAATATATCCGCATAATTTTCCTTCCTCATGATGCCATCTATTTTGTGAAGTGCACCAGTCCCTCCTGCAGCAAAGCACCCCCATAGCATGATGCTGCCACCCCCGTGGTTCACAGTTGGGATGGTGTTCTTCGGCTTGCAAGCACCCCTTTTTCCTCCAAACATAACGATGGTCATTATGGCCAAACAGTTCTATTTTTGTTTCATCAGAGGACATTTCTCCAAAAAGTACGATCTTTGTCCCCATGTGCAGTTGCAAACCGTAGTCTGGCTTTTTTATGGCGGTTTTGGAGCAGTGGCTTCTTCCTTGCTGAACGGCCTTTCAGGTTATGTCGAGATAGGACTCGTTTTACTGTGGATATAGATACCTTTCTACCCGTTTCCTCCAGCATCTTCACAAGGTCCTTTGCTATTGTTCTGGGATTGATTTGCACTTTTCGCACCAAAGTACGTTCATCTCTAGGAGACAGAACGCGTCTCCTTCCTGAGCGGTATGACGGCTGCGTGGTCCCATGGTGTTTATACTTGCGTACTATTGTTTGTACAGATGAACGTGGTACCTTCAGGCGTTTGGAAATTGCTCCCAAGGTTGAACCAGACTTGTGGAGGTTTATCATTTTTTTCTGAGGTCTTGGCTGATTTTCTTTGGATTTTCCCATGATGTCAAGCAAAGAGGCACTGTGTTTGAAGGTAGGCCTTGAAACACATCCACAGGTACACCTCCAATTGACTCAAATGATGTCAATTAGCCTTTCAGAAGCTTCTAAAGCCATGACATCATTTTCTGGAATTTACCAATCTGTTTAAAGGCACAGTCAACTTAGTGTATGTAAACTTCTGACCCACTGGAATTGTGATACAGTGAAATATAAATGAAATAATCTGTCTGTAAACAATTGTTGGAAAAATGACTTGTGTCATGCACAAAGTAGATGTCCTAACCGACTTGCCAAAACTATAGTTTGTTAACAAGAAATTTGTGGAGTGGTTGAAAAAACGAGTTTTAATGACTCCAACCTAAGTGTATGTAAACTTCCGACTTCAACTGTATGTATGTGTGTATTTATTTATTTATATTATATATAGCTCAGAAAACTTGGAGGGGGTGGGGGGGCAAATAAAACCACCCACGGGCCAAATTCATCCCGCAGTCCGCCAGTTGGGGAACCCTGCTGTAGGGTCTACAGTAGAAGAATGAGGAGTGGAACAGTTATGAACTGTACTGTAGCATACTGACGCTGTATACGGGCCTTCAGTATCTCTACATAAAGCCTACAGCAATACTATTCATATTCAGGCCTTGGGGGCCACTGCAGTACTGGTGCCTTTCACCTCTCTCTGGCCCTTACTCTATCAATCAATGTAATGTAATCGCCCATGACAGACACACACTTGGTTTCCCAGGTTTAAATCAGTTAAAGGAAAGAATGAAAACCAGTAGAACTGTGGACCTTGAGGCCAGGATTTCAATATTACTGGCCTACTGTAGGCCTATCTATATCCTGTGCTGAAGTATCCTGTGTTTGAGTTGCAGGTGCTGGACATAGCCACTAGGGGGCAATGTCTGACAGCAGTGGTGCTGCCAACAGCAATAGCTGGACTGTCCTTACAGCTGAGGTACGCTCTCTTCACTGCTTTGTGTGTGTGTGTGCACTGCAGAGTTTGCACAAGTTTGAGTTTTGAACACTTAAGTAAGAAAAAAACTAGTTTTTCTAATGGGATTAAATGTGTCACCATATGGGTCAATTCAATAATGTGTGTGTGTGTGTGTCTCAGGAGACTGTTGCTGAGACGCTGAGGCCTGTAGAGGAGGGAACGGAGCATCATGAAGATACACCAAGTCATACTGCTACAGAGAAACCTACAGGTACACCAAGTCATACTGCTACAGAGAAACCTACAGGTACACCCAGTCATACTGCTACAGAGAAACCTACAGGTACACAACACATACAGTGAGCTCCAAAAGTATTGGAAATGTTTTGTTTTGTCTCTGTACTCCAGCACTTTGGATTTTAAATTATACAATGACTATGAGGTTAAAGTGCAGACTGTCAGCTTTAATTTGAGGGTAGGTTCATACATATCGGGTGAACCGTTTAGAAATTACAGCACTTTTTGTACATAGTCCCCCTATTTTAGGGGACAAATTCACTTATCTGTATTAAAGTAGTCAAAGGTTTAGTATTTGATCCCATGTTACTAGCACACAATGATTACATCAAGCGTGTTGGATGCATTTGCTGTTTGTTTTGGTTGTGTTTCAGATTATTTTGTGTCCAACAGAAATGAATGGTAAATAATATATTGTGTCGTTTTGAAGTCACTTTTATTGTAAATAAGAATAGAATGTTCCTAAACACTTGTACATTCATGTGGATGCTACCATGATTACGGATAGTCCTGAATGAATCGTGAATAATGATGAGTGAGAAAGTTACAGACGCTCAAATATCTTACCCCCCAAAAAATGCTAACCTCATTACACATTTACATTTTAGTCATTTAGCAGACGCTCTTATCCAGAGCGACTTAGAGTTTTTATTTTGTATTTTTTTCATACTGGCCCCTCGTGGGAATCGAACCCACAACCCTGGCATTGCAAGCGCCATGCTCTACCAACTGAGCTACACGGGGCCCATGTACAATAACCTCCCCTGTTATTGTAATGGTGAGAGGTTAGCATGTCTTTGGGGAATTATATTTGTGCGTCTAACTTTCTGACTCAAAATTATTCACCATCCATAATCATGGTAGCATCCACATTAACGTAGAAATGTTTAGTGTTTTATGTTTTTATTTACAGTAAAAGTGACTCCAAAATGACACAATACATTATTTACCATTCATTTCTATTGAGCACAAAATGATATGAAACATAAACAAATAAACTGCAAATGCATCCAACAACCATGCAATCATTGCGTGCTAGGAATATGGGACCAAATACTAAACTTTTGCCTAATTTAATACACATATAAGTGACTTTGTCCCAATACTTTTGGTCCCCTAAAATGGGGGGAATATGTACAGAAAGTGCTGTAATTTCTAAACGATATGGATGAAAATACCCTCAAATTAAAGTTGACAGTCTGTACTTTAACCTCATAGTCACTGTATCATTTCAAATCCAAAGTGCTGGACTACAGATCCAAAACAACAAAAAATCAACTGTCCCAATACTTTCGGAGCTCACTGTGTTGTAACATGAGAACCTACAGGTACACAACACACACTGCAACAGTGGTGATTTTGGCATGTAAATCTTGGTGGGGCAAACTCAAAAAGTTGTATTTTATTCGATGCATGCCAGCAAAGCCACAACACAACACTAAACAATTAATTAATTGCACTATAACAGTGACAAATGGTGCCCACAAACTGTTAGGGCCTACATAAAGCTGTCCCAACAGCAGAGCTTTCTTTTCAGCACCATGGAGTGAATTCTTACCACTGCTACACCTGGCTATCAGCGGAGCCTTGACTGGCAGCGAAACAGTTCATTCAGCCTAATTTTAGTGCCTTTAAAAAAAAAAACTGATATGGCTGACTTGCTTAAACAAATGTGGTTTCTACTGACAATTGAGATGTACAAACTATGCCATAAGGGAACGATGAGCGGATAAGAGGCAATCCGTAATATCGATTAAGACATTAATGAGTGAGCTAAGACAGACGTAGTCAATATAACTATTTGTTCAGCACTTTTGAAATGTACTGCGACAGAATTCAGAACATGGGCCGTTCTTACAGTATTCTCCCTGTACACAAAGTCAGAACCGTAGGATAAATAAAGGGCAGACAATGAAAGCTCTTACAATATTCGATGATGACATTTCTCTAAAACAGGCTACAGGCTACATGTCCACCACCAAGTCAGAACAGTAGGCTAAGTTATGAGGGGGTAAGGGACCAAATGATTAGGGTGAGGCACATGGGCTACTAACAGATGATGGTCCTCTGTAGCTCAATTGGTAGAGCATGGCGCTTGTAATGCCAGGGTAGTGGGTTCGATCCCCGGGACCACCCATACGTAAAAATTTATGCGCACATGACTAAGTTGCTTTGGATAAAAGCTTCTGCTAAATGGCATATAATAATAATAATAATAATAATAACAGCTTACTACACAACATACACTTAGTATTCCTTTCTTAGCTACAGTATACATATCTCACTGGCATATTACATCATTTATCACTTTTTTGGACTCACCTTGTTGTGCTGTGCTCACTTGAACAGGAAGGTGGTGGTCCTTCTTGTGAGCAAATGTTGTCATCAAAGTCTGTAATTCTCTGGATTTATGATGCTTTCAAGACAACTGGGAACTCAGAAAAAAAGAAGGTTGAATCATGACGTCAGTGATCTTCAGGTTGGAGCTCTAGAAAGCAGCCCGAGTTCCCGACTTGGAATTCCAAGTTGGATGACCGTTCAAAATGTATTTTCCCAATTGTCTTGAACTAACTCAAGTCTGAGATTTCCCAGTTCCGAGTTTCCAGTTGTTTTGAACACGGCAGAAGTCATGCTGGATTGACAGCATGGCCAATGTATTCAACCTTTTCTGGCCCATGGTGTTGCATGCGAATGTTTATCCTTTTAAACCTGGAAAAGAGACCTTTAAACCCAGACTTGGACCACACACCCTTTCCACTGAATAGCAGGCTAGTGATTGCTTTGCAATGCTTCCAGTTAGCCACTGATTCCTGAATTTGCCATTTCCAACTTGTTCTGTAATGTTTATGGCCGATGAGCACCGATACGTTTTATCTGTAATTTATCTTCATATGATAAGGATTGAAAATGATTTGACAGTAGATTGTCAACTTGATTCATGATGATGACTGCTTGTCTAGCTTGCTAGCTAAGATTTTGAAAGTATGATGTTGACATGATCAGTCCAATCAAAGCTACGGTAGATCTAACGTGATTTGACGTCATTCTATCTGTGGCCAATGACCTTGAGCCTTCTTGGATGGGCACTTCTAATGTAAATCTATGGCAGCACCCAAGGGGCTTGAATTTGACGTATAAGGAGAGACTTTGTTATTTCTTCAAACAATTATACTTTATTTATCGATTTAATTATTGCAATAATGAAGCTGGTCGGTCATGCACTCTGAGGTGTAAGGCAGAGAGCTCGAAGACACAAGGAGTACAGAAGCCTTATATAGCGAAGCTGTCTTATGCAAGTATGTACAAAACACGTGATCTTGGTATGTGTGTGGGGGACGAGACAACTGGGGTACAAGGTACAGACTAACTGTGAAAAAGGTTGCCTCATTCTGTAGCATCTGCTGATTATTCTAATCCACCAGACACCGTTCCTCAAAAGTAGATGAATGGTTCACCAAACCGGGCAAGCGAGCGCCTTTCGCTTTCTGCCTAGATTATGTGGGGTTTCTCACCCACACACATACACAAGCATGAACCTTTCGCCCAGCAACATGAATGACGGGTCGCCACTTCACTGCAATAGGATAACCTACAGGCACTAATACTTTTATACTACTTAATGTCTAACATGCCTCTCCCTGTGTGTCTGTCTATCAGAGAGTAGGCCTGGGGAGGATGCAGTGTCTGCTGAAGAGTCTCACTCTGTGGAGCCACAGCAGGTTAGAGCTCCATCTCTATTGACACCCCACCTAGGATCATATCTATCTAGGGGAAACACTGACTGGTCTTGCACACTAACAACTGTGTTTCACATCCATCCCCAGGTGACCCAGGAAACACAACCAGAGAGAGGCAAGGATCACACCCCTGTTGTAGAGAGTCACACCCATGAGCCTACCCATGACCTTCCCTCTGACCCTGCCCTTGACTCCACCTCTGCTAGTGTTGCTCCTCCGAGCTCTCCGTTAGAAGTCCCTGCCCCCACAGGCCCTGACCCAGATACACACAGCCAATCCAGAAGCCTGCCTGGGAGCCCGGCCCCTCCCATCTCTGACCCTGATTCGTTCTCTGACTCCTACACCCACATTAGCTCCTCCCCTGACCTTGAAACACCCTGCCTTGCTGCTCAACACTGAGCCACCGGAAGAGGGGTATATACAGGATGTGCATCATCATTATGAGGAGGGGCTTGGGCAGGAAGAGGAGGAGTCTGATCTGTCGGAGGTCGGGGTCAAGACAGGTGAGACTCAAGGCATCTGTCTGGAGCACCGTAACAACATTACCTTCACTGTCACCTCCTCAAATTGTAGTTTGTGAACTATCCCTTTAAAAGCTCATGTTCAGTGGCTCTAACTCCTCTCTTTCTCCCTGGGCCAGACTCCCATCTGGAAGCAGAGGTGTTGGGGGAGGAGAAGGGTGAGGAGGAAGGGGTATCAGGGGTGAGGAGGAGGAGGGGGTCTCTCCTGGCAGCTCTGGAGCGGATCGGGAGGAAGGAGGAGGAGAGGAGGAGGATGAATTCCGTATTCCGCAGAAGAGGGAGGAAGAGGAGACTGGTTTCTCTCTGAACAAGTGCATCCTGGGAGCTGTCATCCTGCTGGGCCTCGGAACCATCTTCTTCTCAGGTGTGTGTCACCACAGTTTCTGTTACCATGGTAACATACATTATTGTTACCTGGGAGTGACCTGTGTAGGACCTACACACACCTGTATGTCATCTGTGCCTGTCTCTTCTCTATGACGGTAACACAATGTGCTAAACATAATCATGAATGATTAGACTAAAGGGATTTTTCACCCACATCACAGCTAGTCAGTAGTGTGTTGGTTGATTCAGTAGTGGTCACAGATAAAGGTCTGAGACTGTATTATGCCTACAGGTGTCTTCATGGACCTGGACGATGGTAGGTTGTGTGTGTGTGTGTGTGTGCCAGAGGAAAAGAGGAGTGTTATGCGATTAACACTCCCATGCTTGGTTGACAGTGCTCCACTCTTTCCCAAAAAGCACTGCTCTACATCCTTGTGTTTTGTTGTCATGGTGCATCGTTTCTGTGTTGTGTTATGATGGTGATAGTGCATCCTTGTGTTTCTGTGTTGTAGAATGATGTGTATTGTCCCCAATGATATATGTATTATATGTGATATGTCTCTGGTTGTCCCCCATTGTCTTTGTGTTACGATGCATTATACTTGTGTTATAACAGTGTGTTATAATGCATTGTAATGTTCTGTCAGTCTTATAATGCATTATAACAGCTGTTTTCCTTCCAGAGGGGGACTATGACACCAGGGAGCTGAGAGAAACAGAGGTGGTGGGAAACAGGTCAGCCTCTCACTCACTCACTCACTCACTCACTCACTCACTCACTCACTCACTCTCTATCTCAGTCTGTCTGTCTCTCTCTACCTACCTATCTATCTTATCCCATCCCCCTCTCTCTAACTTCAACATTCAACTGGAATGATTGGTCATCGTGTACTTGATATTGTGTGAACTGTGTGTGTGTGTGTGTTGCCAAAGGAATGGCTGAATCCCGAGATTCCTCTTCCACCACCTGTAGATGTTGACAGTACAGACCATCTGAATAAACTGGCTAAAGAAGACCCACAGATAGCTGTACTGCAAGCCCAACTCCTGGTAGGCCCCTCGCTGTGTCTGTCTGTCTCTCTCTTACTCTCTCTCTATAGTTCTCTCTCTCTCTCTCTCTCTCTCTCTCTCTGACTTAATGTACAGCAGTGTGTATAAGCAGGTGTGTGTTTGTGCCGTGTGTGTATGCTGCCTATATTCTCAAAGGGTCCTCTTTGCTCTTTTTTAATCAGGCACAGAAAGAGGAGCTAAAAGTAGCCCAGAAGCAAGCGGAGGATGGAGGGAGGGAGCGAAAGAAGAGGGAGGAGGTGGAGAAGGAGCACGGTAGGCTGAAGAAAGAGATGACGTCGCTCCCTGTCCTTCAGAAGGAGAATGAGAGGATGAAGAGAGAGCTGGAGTCTGTTCCTGTCTTACAGAAAGAACTAGAGACACTCAGAGCCAAAGTGACTGAACTAAAACACAGCACAGGTACTTAGGAGTAGACCTGGCTTCAAATACTATTTAACATAATTTAAAATACTGTACTTTAGCTGGGTTTGATTGAGAATGTCTGGCACATTGAACCAATAAAATTGTCTTAAAACTGCCAACCCTGCCCATCTGGTACTCCAGGCAGGCTGAAGTGATCACTAAAAGTATTTGGAAGATTTCCAATAGTATTTCAACGCACAGGTCTGTGTAGGAGAGAGGGAGGGAGGGGGAGGTAGGGAATGAGAAGGAGGGAGGGGAAGGTAGGGAATGAGAAGGAGGGAGGAAGAGGACGGGGGGGAAAGCTAGCTAGTGACACTAATAGCCACAGTGACTGAACTAACACACACATAACATGTACACAAACACAAACATTTCTAATTCTCTTAATTTATTTCCTTAGACAAAGAAGCAGCTCCACTGCCGGTCTCTGCCTCTGTCCCGCCCCCCTCTGGCCAAGCTGGGGATTACAGCCAGAACACAGCAGGAACGATAGAGGGGGAGGGCAAGAAACCAGGGGAGGGAGAGAAAACAGAGAAGAAGAAAGAGTGGAAGAAGGAGAAAACTGAGCAGGGAAAAGAATGGAAGGAGAAGGAAGAGAAGAAGGATTGGAATAAGGGAGGGAAGAAGGATTGGAAGGTAGAAAAAGAGTGGAAAAAGGGAAAATATGACCAGGAGAAAGAAGGTGAAGAATGGAAGGGAAAAGAGAAGAAAGAGTGGAAGAAGAAAGAAGACAAGAAGGGAGAATGGAAGAAAGATAAATCAAGCAGAGGGGATGAGGGCAAGCCATGGAAGGCCAGGGAAGACAAGATAGAATGGAAGGAGAAGGGTGAGAAAAAAGACTGGAAGGAGGAGAAAGATTGGAAAAGGGAAAAACCTGAAAGATGGAGTGATAGCAAGTGGAAAGGCGAGAAGGAGTGGAAAAAAGGCAAGGATGAGCGGAAGGGAGAGAAGGAGTGGAAGGGAAAAGAGGAGAAGAATCTAAAGAAAGGAGGTTGGGATGAGTGGAAGGGAGAGAAGGAGTGGAAGGGAAAAGAGGAGAAAAATCTAAAGAAAGGAGGTTGGGATGAGAAGGAGTGGAAGGGAAAAGAGAAGAATCTAAAGAAAGGAGGTTGGGATGAGTGGAAGGGAGAGAAGGAGTGGAAGGGAAAAGAGGAGAAAAATCTAAAGAAAGGAGGTTGGGATGAGTGGAAGGGAGAGGAGTGGAAGGGAAAAGAGGAGAAAAATCTAAAAGGTTGGGATGAGTGGAAGGGAGAAAAGAATGGAAAAGATGACAAATATCTAAGGAAAGGAGGATGGAATAAGGGCAAGGATGAGTGGAATGGAGAGAAGGCGTGGAAGGGAAAAGAGGAGAAGAATCTAATGAAAGGAGGATGGAATAAGGGCAAGGATGAGTGGAAGGGAGACAAGGATGACTATAAGGACCGTGGCAAAGGATGGAAGGAGAGAGGAGAGAAGGAGTGGAAGAGCGAAAAAGATTGGACAAAGAAAGACGGAAAAAAATATTGCAGTAAAGAGTGGAAGGGTAAGGACGACAGGAGAGAAAATGAGTGGTCTGATGGAAAGAAGGAAGGATGGAAGGAGGAGAGAAACGGTGGGAACTGGAACAAGGACAGAGGAGATGACAAATACGAGAAGGACCACCACTACTCTAAGGAAGGTCAGAAAGAGAAAGAGAGGGGAAAGAGAGAAAAGGGTCCTCCTCAAACCCACCGCAGAGCCCCCCTGGAGCAACCTGACTACTGGAGCCACCAGAGAGAACGACTGCAGCACAAACCCAACCCTCAAACCCACTGCAGCTCAGTGGAGGCCTGCGCCCAGGCAGAGGGGCTGCTCCCTGTCACCATGGCCGAGTTTGAAACCCTGCTCCTGGGTTACCTAGCCAAGGCGGAGAGGGTTGGGGTGGAGACCTCCAAGAGGGAGGAGCTCAGTAAGCTAGCCAGGGAGTTCTTCAGGGACGGAGTGTTCGTTCACGACCAGATGAGCTTCAAGGACTTTGTGGAGGATGTGGATGACATCTTGGAGGATATGGTGAAGGGAGAGGAGGATGAGGAGGTAGAGGAGGAGATGGATGACATTGAGGAAGAGGCAATGAACAGGTTTGCAGTTCCAGGGGGAGGAGAGAGGGAGAAGTGGAAGAAGGAGAGTGAGAGAGGACGGGCGTGATGAGTGAGAAAGGGAGTCAACGCATGTCAGACACACACACAGTCTTCCACTCTATCTACTATCTACTAATGTCTTTAATCTTAATAACCTAGCTACAACCTTTCTCTTCTCCATGGAGTCCTGGCCAACCACAATCAACATGCTATTTTCCATTTCAGCAGTTTGAAGGTCTGAATGAATAATGTATTACACACACACACACACACACACACACACACACACACACACACACACACCCAGGCAATCAATGCAGAGGGATATGTGAAGTTGTTGATGGGAGTAGAGAGAGAGAGACTAGCAGGCCAGTGGCACTGGGGAAACAGAGACCCAATCCAGCAGTCTTAACATAGCTAGTGGGAGGGGACTAGAACTTGTCTCTCAATGGCCAATCCCAAATCAACCCCTCGACTGACCTCTAACCTCTTACTGTCCCCAAGCACATAGGAAACCAAACCACCCAGGATTGCTAGCCTAAAAACAGTGGTGTTACACTTGTCTGTTTCATAAAGAGGAGTGTATGTTTCCTCTCTGTAGAATACACTATGCATCGTGCACTGCCAAGCTAACCCTTTCACGGGCAGCTTGTAGCGTTGGTAGCTTTCAATCATGTCATATTTCTGTTAACTTATTTATTATTAATTCTTTATTATTTTTGTGAGACGTGGTCTTTAAAAGTCATTGAAGGATAGATTTACAAAGTGAGTGTGAACTACTGAGGAGGAGGAGTGAATGTAAACTGATGGTGATGCCGGTCTTTATTTTCATGTCAATGTTCAACGTGTTGTAAATAGTGCACTAAAACACCACACACTTACAAAACATTTGAATGATATATTCCAATTTTTTTTATTTATAGGATATTCGAAATGTCGAAAGGCACATAAAATTGCTTTGGAGCAATGTAATATGTTGACCATGCATCCATCCTTTTGGATAAAGAGGGAATGTATTGAAAACACTAAAACGTCTTTACTTTTGGTTATGTTGCAACAGTTATTATGAAGCAAAATGCTCATGGCACTTAAGATAAGGATTGTCTTCAGGAAAGAAAACAGCTGGATGTTGTGGTTACACTTTACTTTACAGTCCTGTATTTACTTATATAGTAGAATGATAATTACATTAGAGTAACCACCTAATGACAACTTTTTTTTTTAAAATTATTTTACAAATTCATTGTAAGAGTTTCTAATTCTGTTGAATTCTTTGAGATAACTACCAGAAGGTATGACTTGTTACCATAGTTTTGTAGTAAATATCAGGTACTGTAGATACCAGATGAAGCAGGGCTGTAAAATATAGTCTTACTGATGCTCCATGTTTACATGATGGTAACTGTGTAAAACCTGATGATTGACAAGCCCATATACACTTATTAAAACATTACTTGAATGGGCATTCAAGTCTAACCACGTGGGCTTACAGCAGCATCTTTGAAAACTCCACTTTGTATGCTAGAAATGTGCAAATGTAACATGGTCCGATTGTGATAAAAGCAGCCTAATAAATGAAGCTTTGTCCTTCTGAAGAACAGTTGTCGCGTTGTTGTGTCCAAAATGTCCGCCAACTGATAAGGGAAGTGTTGAGGTGAGAATGAAAAGTATTGGTGTTGTTTCCATTACAGGTCTGTTAATAAACCTTAAACACTTCACAGCAACAGAGAACCTCTATCTGACTATTTTAAACCTGCACTACAACTTTTGCAGTAAAGATATTGTTTTCACTTCCCTTTTCTGAAGACATATTTAAAGGTTGTTCTCTAGTATTCTGCACCACACTATAGCTGTCTGGGTGTCGACAGAAGTACTGTAAACAGAATTACAGAGCTCTCTATAGAAGCACAGAGGTCTGGCAAAGGAAGACATCTTTTTTTAAAACAGAACACTGAGGTGAGCAGTCCTATTTCACTTTGACTGTCCTATTTTTCACTTTTATACTCTTATAGTTTACTCTCAGCTGGTATTTATAATAATAATAATATAATATGCCATTTAGCAGACGCTTTTATCCAAAGCGACTTACAGTCGTGCGTGCATACATTTTTTTTTTTGTGTATGGGTGGTCCCGGGGATCGAACCCACTACCTTGGCGTTACAAGCGCCGTGCTCTACCAGCTGAGCTACAGAGAACCACTACTAGGTATTCATCAATTATCAGGTGCTTTTTTATAAGTATCATGTAATTGCTGTTTGCCATGTAGTTCTAGTTAAACACTGACTAAAAAGTGTACTGTAAAATAAATGTTCTCTGTTTCATTTAGGTATAACACCCAGAATGACGTTTGTATTTTGGGTGTGGAGGCCCGGTGTCAGTGTGAGTATGCTGCTGCTCCTGTGTGTGTGTGACAGAGCGGAGGGGGTGATCAGGCGTCACTGTGACTGCTATGAGGAGGATATGTATGTACAGAAAGATATCGGAGGGGTCCTAGACTGTTCCTTTAAGCCTGGCCTGGGACCCTACGCTGAGTGCACAGAGATCACTGACCTCAGGTAGGTTACATACAACCAGGACAATAGAACAGAGATCACTGACCTCAGGTAGGTTACATACAACCAGGACAATAGAACAGAGATCACTGACCTCAGGTAGGTTACATACAACCAGGACAATAGAACAGAGATCACTGACCTCAGGTAGGTTACACACGACCAGGACAATAGAACAGAGATCACTGACCTCAGGTAGGTTACATACAACCAGGACAATCGAACAGAGATCACTGACCTCAGGTAGGTTACACACGACCAGGACAATAGAAAAGAGATCAGCAGTATTACATCCTTATACAGACTATAGTTTCTAGTCAGATACACTCTATTTATACAGTATATAAATTATCTATTTATATTATACAGTATCAGTCCAAAGTTTGGACACACCTACTCATTCAAGGGTTTTTCTTTTTTTTACCTTGTCACAACACAACTGATTGGCTCAAACGCATTAAGAAGGAAAGAAATTCCACAAATTAACTTTTAAGAAGGCACACCTGTTAATTGAAATGCATTCAAGGGGGTTACCTCATGAAGCTGGTTGAGAGAATGCCAAGAGTGTGCAAAGCTGTCATCAAGGCAAAGGGTGGCTACTTTGAAGAATCTCAAATATAAAATATATTTTGATTTATTTAACACTTTTTGGGTTACTACATGATTCCATATGTGTTATTTCATAGTTTTGATGTCTTCACTATTATTCTACAATGTAGAAAATAAAAATAAAAAAACCCTGGAATGAGTAGGTGTGTCCAAACTTTTGACTGGTAGTGTATATACATATCGGGCCTTTATATATATATATATATATATATATATATATATATATATATATATATATATATATATACAGTGGGGAGAACAAGTATTTGATACAATGCCGATTTTGCAGGTTTTCCTACTTACAAAGCATGTAGAGGTCTGTAATTTTTATCATAGGTACACTTCAACTGTGAGAGACGGAATCTAAAAAATCCAGAAAATCACATTGTATGATTTTAAAGTAATTAATTTGCATTTTATTGCATGACATAAGTATTTGATACATCAGAAAAGCAGAACTTAATATTTGGTACAGAAACCTTTGTTTGCAATTACAGAGATCATACGTTTCCTGTAGGTCTTGACCAGGTTTGCACATACTGCAGCAGGGATTTTGGCCCACTCCTCCATACAGACCTTCTCCAGATCCTTCAGGTTTCGGGGCTGTCGCTGGGCAATACTGACTTTCAGCTCCCTCCAAAGATTTTCTATTGGGTTCAGGTCTGGAGACTGGCTAGGCCACTCCAGGACCTTGAGATGCTTCTTACGGAGCCACTCCTTAGTTGCCCTGGCTGTGTGTTTCGGGTCATTGTCATGCTGGAAGACCCAGCCACAACCCATCTTCAATGCTCTTACTGAGGGAAGGAGGTTGTTGGCCAAGATCTCGCGATACATGGCCCCATCCATCCTCCCCTCAATACGGTGCAGTCGTCCTGTCCCCTTTGCAGAAAAGCATCCCCAAAGAATGATGTTTCCACCTCCATGCTTCACGGTTGGGATGGTGTTCTTGGGGTTGTACTCATCCTTCTTCTTCCTCCAAACACGGCGAGTGGAGTTTAGACCAAAAAGCTAAATGTTTGTCTCATCAGACCACATTACCTTCTCCCATTCCTCCTCTGGATCATCCAGATGGTCATTGGCAAACTTCAGACGGGCCTGGACATGCGCTGGCTTGAGCAGGGGGACCTTGCGTGCGCTGCAGGATTTTAATCCATGACGGCGTAGTGTGTTACTAATGGTTTTCTTTGACACTGTGGTCCCAGCTCTCTTCAGTTCATTGGCCAGGTCCTGCCATGTAGTTCTGGGCTGATCCCTCACCTTCCTCATGATCATTGATGCCCCACGAGGTGAGATCTTGCATGGAGCCCCAGACCGAGGGTGATTGACCGTCATCTTGAACTTCTTCCATTTTCTAATAATTGCGCCAACAGTTGTTGCCTTCTCACCAAGCTGCTTGCCTATTGTCCTGTAGCCCATCCCAGAATAGGATTATGACAAATAACAATTTATCTTATTGAGTATCTTTAACAATAAACCAAAAACAAATTTTTCTATGGAGTGTAAATACATTTCTATGAAATATGAACAAATCTTTATGGAGTGTGAGAGCGAAAAACCTGTCTGGCAGCCTTCTTTCCAAATATCCATCAATCAATCAAGACAGTAAAATTCTCTCACGGCCCCTCTGCCCCAGGCAACCACCTAAGTACTCCAGATCAATTCATAAATCTTTATCAATGCATTTTAAACTATGATGCAATTTGAATACACATGAAAGCCTCAGCAAACAAAATACAATCAAAAATGTCCACATTCAGGCTGATCAACCCATCGGACCCTCCTGTGGATTCTCTCTATCCCTGCCTAGACCCAATATCCCTAAGCATCCACGAAATAAACAAAAACATCTGAGATCCCCACATGTACCCAATAACAGCAAATATCATTCTACAAAAATTAATACAGAAAGAATATGACACAAATTATCTATTACACATGCAAATATGTCTATATATCATTGCAGACACTGGAATGTAGTCCACTACACTTCATCTCCTCAGCAGTGTCGACTTCCAATGCATCGTTGATGATGGAATCGGAACATTTCCACACCTTCCTTGTTCCACTTCCTCCAGTCCATTCATATTGTCCCTTCATATTGTCCATGTTTGAGTATTTGAACCCCCTCTACATATTCCCCCATATGCTTCTGGAAGAAAAGAAAAGACCAAACAGTATCTTTTGCAAAACAACACATTCAAATTAAAACATCAATATCAACTAAAAATATAAAAATGATATATAAAATGAATCACATACCATTTCCCCCCTTTGATTCATAACAAAATACTAAAATCACACTAACATTTAAAAACATTTAAAAAATGATCGGATAATCAAAATGGATATTTATCCATCAATACTCCATCCAGTTCCACTTGTTCATCTTCATCTAGATCAGTAACAGTTAACAACGGCATCTGAGTGTTTTCTCCAGGCATCACAACTCCAACCCATCTCAATATCATAGCCTTCGCAAAGGTCAGTAACAAAGTACAAAAGCAAAACATCACACACAGCGCTATCAGAGCTGCTACTAAAATCTGAACTATCACTGCTCCCACTGGGCCTAACTGATCTTGCAACCAAGCCTTCGCTGACCATCCAGCTCCTTCAGATCTACCAAACGCATCCCTTATATTCTTCAATGCATCTATAACACTAGTGATATTATCGGAACTATCTGGGATCAAAGTATAACAATCATCCCCCGTCAAATTCATAGCCAAACATAAGCCACCTTGTTTTGCTAAAATATAGTCAAGAGCCATGTCATGTTTCAACAGCGTCAGTCTGTGACTTCTTTGAGTATTCGACAGAAGGTTAAACCCTCTTATCGTTTCATTTGCAAAACCCTGCAAAGTATAGGTAATATTATCAATGTGATCTGCCAAAAATGTTACACCATACCATGGAAAAAGTCCCAGTCCCCACTTCTCTCCTAGACTTATCCTCCAATGGTAGGCTTCCAGACTATGAAATTCCTCTCTTCCCTAACGAGCTGTATTGATCAGATGTATCTTCTTGTCTTCCATTAAAATCAAAGAACTCATCCTGTACCTCCATGATAGTATTCTGCACTATTTCAGATGAATCTGCATCATTCTCTACTACCATCTGCTCTCCTATCTCAACACTATCCTTACTACCATTGACAGCACTCTCCATCCGTATAATAAACTCCTGAGTCACTCTTGCTACATCCTTTAGTTTCAGAAAAGTTGTTGTTGGTGTCTGTGTCATATTTCCTAAATTTGTTATTGCCGTCATACCATTAATTTCTTTCAAAGTTGCTATTAAAATAGTTGCTTTAGTTGATTTATTAACACTCTTACAGATATCCTCTGTGTATTATTTACTGCTGAAGTGGCTACTGTAATATACTTCTCTTGAACTCCTTTGGTGACTGTGGAAGCTTCAACAGACCTCAAATCTTCCATCATAAGCGTCACCTTACGAGTTACATAACCTTTTAACCAATAATTCTTAGCCGGAACAAACTTTAATGCTTGCACTAAATAAGTACACATATATTCTCCCTGATCTTTCCATGTAACATTACGCAAAATAAGTGAGCAATCACTCATAACCCTCTTCCATTTCATATCGTTGTACAAAATATACTTCCTTTGACTAGGGGGCACAGCTTCTACTTCTGGTCCTGATAACAACACTTCTTCTCCATAATTATCTCTCCATGTGAGAGGAACGTCACCACCCCCACTCCATCTCTCACATCTACAAGGAAGATGAGCTGTACCACCAATCCTAACCCTAATGACAGTCTTTTCCTCTAAAATTGGTGCTGGAGCGATTGGCTCCCTTGTAATCAAATGTGATACATTTATAGCTTTAATAACTGTCAATGTTGAAAGAGTTGAATTGCTTCTCACTGTTGTTATAATAGGCTGAAGTGTTGATGTCATTGTTGTTGATTCATCCATTCTCCCTAAAGCTTTGAACTCTTTACTTGTATTTCCATCTATCACCACATCAACTCTGTCACTACATCAACTCTCAGTCCCAACTCTAATCCCTCACTTTCAACCTGTTGATTATAAAAAATACATTTATAGTCACCTTCATCTTCCTGCTGGGAATTGTAAATATAGATACTGCAATCACCCTCAATCTTCATTCTTCTCTTATCATTCAACAACGCATACTTTCTCAATGCAACTGCTCCTAACAGATCTAAACTCCTGCCATATCTATCTTCCCACTGAACTCTAAATTTCCCTTCACCACTGTTCTCTCTCTCTTCCTACTAACATTGAAGCTGAGCTGACTGTCCTAGAGTTCCTTCAACCCTAGTTTTCCTAACTTTTTAATCTGACTTTTCTCCTAACTTTTCAGTCCCCACCTGCTTATGACTTCTTTACACACAGACTTGGCAAACGACTGAGCATCTTTTAGCTTAATTTGACATCTTATTCACCTCTTGGTGTAGGAATGTAACCAAGAATAACAGTCACCCCCTGTAAACGTTATTTTTCAGACAGATTGTCCTCCTTCCTATGATATAATCAATCTTTTCAAGCAAATATGATTCCCAAAAACCCTACTCCTTTGTAATCTTTCTCCTAACCTTAGCCTTCTTTAAAGAATCTTCACTGAGATTTCCAATCCAGAATACTAAAGACAAATCCATCTCTGTCATCATCAACAATTGGTAAACCTTTTCCTTTGGCACTTCTACCAGACAGCCGTCTGGTGTACATCTTATTGTACAGTTCAACTTACACAATGCATCTCTTCCCAACAATGCAATAGGTGTATGTTCTGTATGTTCTGATACCAGTATGGGTATTGTAATTTTCTGATTTTTATAGCAGAGCTCAATTGGTTCCATAAGAGGAATCAGCTGTTTTACTCCCTCGAATCCCTATCCTAATTAGTTAATTTTACATAGTGAGATGTGTAACCTCTTCAGGCTGAACACAGATAAAAACCTTTCCGCTATCCATTATCACTTCCCATGGTCCGTTGTTTATTTTTACCTCAATTGTTGGATATTTTTCCGGTCCTGATGCTACCAGCTGACACCCCCCTTTCGGATCTTCTGGGCACCCCTAGAATCCTTGCTCCTTGCCCCTATAAGGGTTCACCTGTCCTCCAGATGATCTTCACTTGCTCCTGTATCTTCCTCTGAAATTCCCTCTGTGTTTCCTCCTGGCCCATTGCACTCACGGGCAAAGTGACCAACCTGTCCACAATTATAACACACTTCTGAGGGTTGCTGGAAGTATGGCTTAAATCTTCCTCCTCTTCCTCTTTCTAAGCCTTCTCGTCCTCTTCCTCTCCAATTCTGTGTCTGTCCAGAAACTGGCTGTGGATATGGAACAACTGGTACCGCTATTGGTGGCTGGTACAATTGCGGTTGGAACTGGTCCGGTTGAAGCTGTGGCAGTGATTGTTGATTTGGTGCACACTGATTCTGCATAACCAAAGCTTGTTTCTTCTCCTTCTTATTCTCCACCAGTTGTATTTGATTGAGTTTTCTGAGAGTTTCTTGGTCCTGTTCTTTCTGGTTGTGTTCCTTTTTCCTGTACAGATCCACTTGATGGGCTATATGATCTGTATAGACGCCTTTTGTCATGCTTCCAAGTCCAACCACCTCTGCCAGTTTGCTCCTTACTGGTGAGGGCAGTCCCATCTGCAGTTTAGCTCTCAAAATTGACTGCTCAATTTGACTCACATCTGGATCATTTCCGGTAATATTTCTCCACACTTGATGGACTCTTGACACATAGGCTCTCGGATTTTCTTGTTGTCCTAGTGGATCAATCAGAATGTTGTCAGGATGCACATTTGTTGGAAACGTATCTTTCAGTGCTCTCCACAGCCGATTCCTACTTGCAGCCAACAATTCAGGATCATTCACTGCAGTCCCCACATATCTATTGAGTCCAGCTCTCTGAAATATTTCTTCCATATCTGGAATCCCAAGGAGATTAGCCAAAAGTATCTTATTGTCTCCTATGGCTGACTGTGTTCCCACCGTAATTTCTTCCAATTTTGAAATCCAAGGATAGGCTCCATCTTGAAGAGTAGGCAGCTTCTCAAGTATATCTGACATATCGGTATTTTGCAAAGGCTTATATTCTAGGTTTTGTCCTCGAATGATCACTGGCATCATCTTCTTACTGGTGCCCTCTTTCCTTGGCCTCAATGTATACTTTTTCTCCAATTCTTGGGATCCTTTTCTCAGCAGTTTTTTCTTCTGTATCTTCAGCTTCTTGAGTTGTTGTTCCAGTTCTCTTACTTCTTCTAAATTATTCGCTTTATCCAGGCATAATACGCATCGGTCTATATCTCTTTCTATTTCTTCTGTGCTAGTCATTGTAGGATAAAATCCTCTTGAATATGAAGCACCTTTAATCTCCAAATCTTTATCGCTGTCTTCATCTTCGCTTTCATCAGAACTGGAATATCTTGTATTCTTCTTCTTCAAACATCCATCACCCCTTCTTTCCACTCTGGCCAACCTCCGTCTGATCACAGGGTCATATCCACCCATGATCTCTTCTGAATCACTCTGATCATCATCATCATCATCTTCAAGTTCCATCCTCCTGAACCTCACTCCACCCTTAGTTTCCAGACATCTCGTTTTCATCCTACTTTTGGAGTTTGGATTCATTTTTATGGTCGTTTCTGCTTGTCCTCTCTCTATTATTCGTTCATCCTCATCTCTGATGCAATAATCACCCTCCTGAATGATCACTGGAAGCTGAGGATAGACGTCCTTAAACTCTACTTCTTTCTCATAAGGTGGGGGTCTTTTTGCTGAATCTGTATGTGAGAAAGGTGTACTGACTTCTGTCATTAGTTTTTCTGTCACCTTCACTGCTTTTACAATTTTCTCTATACCTTTGTTTCTTTTATCGTTGGTATCTTTTATCAGTTTTTGTCCTTCATTTTCAAACAGCTTAAGAACACCCAGCTCTCTTTGTCTCTTTTCTTTATGTTGTTCCCTTTTTTTCCCTTTCTTTTGATCTGCCTTATGTATTGACAGAAGCACTTTCATTATGTTGATGACGTCAGGGTTAAGAGTCCCTTCCACTGGCCATGGTTGTTCAATGTCAGGCCAACGTTTATTCCCTTTTCCAGATAACCTTGCAATACCATTAACTAGAGGATTACTATTTTGCACTACATCAACAGGAGTAATTACTTTCATAGTTTTGATGTCCTTTTTCCCCATTGTAACAACTCTTTTATATTCCTTTATTGTGAATTATTTTATTATTTTAGACTATATAACTTATAGTTTCCTCCCTTTAATTATTAATAAAAAATAAAAAATAAAAATATTTTATATTTTTGTTTTTTATATTTAATTAAACAATTAATCAATCAATTGATGTATAATACATTCTTTTTTTTCTTTTTTTTCTTTTTTTTTCTTTTACCAATTTATTAATTAGTGGCAATCTTACCACATCCGATTAGGAAAAGTAAAGGAAAGTAGTCAACTTCAGAGCAATCCAAAAAAGAAAGACCTACAATCCAGCAACACTACAGTACTCACAAACCAATTGCTTAATAAGCACCCAATTACCTTAATTTTACAGAATAATGTCAGTACTCGATTCCCAACACAACTCTAATCAAACCAACTTATTCACAAAAACTCCAATATGCAATCACATCAATTGATCAGTATGTTGCCAAGTCCCTGTCAAATTGTCACAACATCAAATATGCTAGGCACACAAAATATCCTGTATGGGAAGGTAAGTTTTGTAAATAGAACAGTACTGGCCTTAGTTTGACTGGATCCGTTGCAGCACACCCTGTCGCAGCACACCCTGTCGCGTGATGTACACGTCAGCACTTCCGCTCTCTCTCTGTCTCCTCCCTCTCGTCTCTCATATGACAGAATAACAAAGGACAGACAAGAATTTAGTATTTTATGCACACACTGAGTTATTTCAACCATTCGATACTCCTCCATTCACATTCGCTCTAAGAAATAAGCAAACAACTTAACTCAGGAATAGTATAAATAGCTCAATAACATTTTATGTTATTCATTTTTAATCCGTCAACATATCTCTAGTTTATCAATTCGATAGGTCTCAAGAAAACAGTTGAATCTTTAAACAACAGCCGATTTAACAACCAGAATACACTATTAGTGTCTAAATCTTCTCTCTCTTTGTCTGCGTCTCCCAGCAGCTCAGTGCAGGCAGGGGAGTGGCATATTTGCCCTACGTAACTCTAAAGTCATAAAATCACACGCATGCGTAGTACATTCACCAATACGATTTCAGAGTGGATGGAGCTCTCTCCCAGCTCTCTCCAAGCCAAACAGAAAGTTAACAGTCCCGCTGTACCTCCGTTCTTTTACCCCCCATAGACAAACAATAACACTTAACAGAGCTCACAAACCATAGAACACAAATCCTACTCTATTCTACACACATATACACACATACACAGTTTAAGAGGCTTATTCCATTCCTATGGACCCCTAAGGTAGCATGTAGCATGTTACCTCCATTGCGCCGTATAATTCCTTTGTCTCTAAATTTCTGCTACCACGAGTTCCGCGGACATCCAATGAGCGGTCACATCAAACATATAATTCGTCAACCACATGTTGAGAGGTAACTTGCAACCGAATATATATACCACAGCCTCAAGTCCCCTGGACTCACCTAAATACACCTAACGTGTTTTTAGGATTTTCGGCCCATCCTAATGATCGCCTCCTTAGAGGGCTTCCATAGATTCACAATGGTCTAATTTGTATATATTTACCCTGGCCTTATTCCTTCATTATATTATTCAATAGTTATAGACACTCCCCCCCCGTTTGCGTTGTTACCAACGCAAACAAATTTAGAATTTTAGAACGGACTCCTATCCCACAGCAAATAACAGCAAAATCTGCACACATAAGTATTTTAAACGGTACATTTCTCCAGTGCACACACCCATAAGCCAGCGAACCAAGCAGCGCACAAAATTGTGAGAAATCCCACCTTATGAGCCGGCGTCTTGGGCGGGAGTCACTTCGCCGCACATGAACGGAACACTGGAGAAACGCATCACGTCCCAAACGTTCCTCGCCGCCATTTCTGTTGTTTATAAAGAATAATGCTAATCTTTGCTGTGAGACCAAGGAGTCCGCTTACACTGTACTTTGATTATAAAGGTTTATTTATATCACAAGATTTCAGCATAAGTTTACAGACGTCTGCAGGCATCTGGAGAACAGCGACCCAAAATAATATGTTTGTTCTGACCACCTTTGTCTCAACCAAGTATTTATAATCTTTACCATGATATGGGTGGTTTCCCATACAGACCAATCACCTGTCTCCACACAACAGACTTCCTCTGTTCTATGGGGTGCCCCCATAAAACTGCTCCCCAGATGCTTCCCTAAGCTGAATCAACATCCTCCAAGATACCATTTGAAAACGTTAGCAAAGTCATAAATTCCTCAGATACCACACTGTCATGCATTGATTCAGACCATCCTTTTAATCCTCCCCTTCTTTCACAGGTGACCTCAGGGGCCTTCGCTGGTCTGCCCAAACTAAGGTTCCTCCACCTCCTCGTCTCCACCACCTGGGGTGGAGTGAACGTCACTCTGGAGCCAGGGGTGTTCCAGGGCCTGTCTAGCCTGGAGGAGCTCACCCTGGCTGGGATGAGTCTGGCCCTGGCCCCCCCTGCTCTGCTGGATTCCCTGGTAGGGGTGAGGAGGCTTAGGGTGGGCCGGGCTGGAGTGAGAGACCTGGGGGAACTGGTCTGTCTCCTCTCCCCTGGGATGGATAAACTAGAGACCCTGGAGCTGCCCAACAGCAAGGTCAGCTCCATCCAGAACAGGGGTTGCTCTGGATCCAATCCGTGGCCCACGGCGCTCCTGTCCAGGATCCGGATCCTGGATCGGAGTGGAAACCCGGTGCGGAGGGTAGAGCCGAAGTCTCTGGCAGTGTTCCAGAACCTGTCCAGTCTGTCCCTGTCTATGGTGGATGTCTGGGTGGGCCAGCTGTGGGGGTCTGGCATGGGGAGGGTTAACAAGCTCTACCTGTCCAGTTACGCCCCGAGACAGTTCACCCCCAGCCTGTCTGACCTGTGTACGCTGGTGGTAAAACATGGAGTGGAATCCTTGGATCTGCACATGGCCCTGATCACAGCCTTCACTGCAGAGGTCATGAAGAGGTGAGTCGCTTTAGAATGGTCTAGTCCCCTCAAACTCAACTCTGGACCTCGAAGCCGGTTCCACTGCATTTTTACATTGTTCCCCTCTAATCAGGAACTGATTTAGACCTGGGACACCAGGTGTGTGCAATTAATTATCGGGTAGAACAGAAAACCAGTATGCTCCGGACCTCGTAGGGTAAGAGTTGAGTACCCAGGGTCTAGTCTATGGTTTTCTGGTGGCCTGATCTGACTCATCAGACTCAAAGGAGTTGGATAAAGCATAGACAGACTGGTAACCAAGCAGTTGTAATATATAATAATATAATAATTTACAGTGAGGGAAAAAAGTATTTGATCCCCTACTGATTTTGTACGTTTGCCCACTGACAAAGAAATGATTAGTCTATAATTTTAATGGTAGGTTTAGTTGAACAGTGAGAGACAGAATAACAACAAAAAAATCCAGAAAAACGCATGTCAAAAATATTATAAATTGATTTGCATTTTAATGAGGGAAATAAGTATTTGACCCCCTCTCAATCAGAAAGATTACTGGCTCCCAGGTGTCTTTTATACAGGTAACGAGCTGAGATTAGGAGCACATTCTTAAAGGGAGTGCTCCTAATCTCAGCATGTTACCTGTATAAAAGACACATGTCCACAGAAGCAATCAATCAATCCGATTCCAAACTCTCCACCATGGCCAAGACCAAAGAGCTCTCCAAGGATGTCAGGGACAAGATTGTAGACCTACACAAGGCTGGAATGGGCTACAAGACCATCGCCAAGCAGCTTGGTGAGAAGGTGACAACAGTTGGTGCGACTATTCGCAAATGGAAGAAACACAAAAGGACTGTCAATCTCCCTCGGCCTGGGGCTCCATGCAAGATCTCACCTCGTGGAGTTGCAATGATCATGAGCACGGTGAAGAATCAGCCCAGAACTACACGGGAGGATCTTGTCAATGATCTCAAGGCAGCTGGGACCATAGTCACCAAGAAAACAATTGGTAACACACGCCGTAAAGGACTGAAATCCTGCAGCGAACGCAAGGTCCCCCTGCTCAAGAAAGAACATATACAGGGCCGTCTGAAGTTTGCCAATGAACATCTGAATGATTCAGAGGAGAACTGCGTGAAAGTGTTGTGGTCAGATGAGACCAAAATCGAGCTCTTTGGCATCAACTCAACTCGCCGTGTTTGGAGGAGGAGGAATGCTGCCTATGACCCCAAGAACACCATCCCCACCGTCAAACATGGAGGTGGAAACATTATGCTTTGGGGGTGTTTTTCTGCTAAGGGGACAGGACAACTTCACTGCATCAAAGGGATGATGGACGTGGCCATGTAACGTCAAATCTTGGGTGAGAACCTCCTTCCCTCAGCCAGTGCATTGAAAATGGGTCGTGGATGGGTATTCCAGCATGACAATGAACCAAAACACACGGCCAAGGCAACAAATGAGTGGCTCAAGAAGAAGCACATTAAGGACCTGGAGTGGCCTAGCCAGTCTCCAGACCTTAATCCCATAGAAAATCTGTGGAGGGAGCTGAAGGTTTGAATTGCCAAACGTCAGCCTCGAAACCTTAATGACTGGGAGAAGATCTGCAAAGAGGAGTGGGACAAAATCCCTCCTGAGATGTGTGCAAACCTGGTGGCCAACTACAAGAAACGTCTGACCTCTGTGATTGCCAACAAGGGTTTTGCCACCAAGTACTAAGTCATGTTTTGCAGAGGGGTCAAATACTTATTTCCCTTATTAAAATGCAAATCAATTTATAACATTTTTGACATGCGTTTTTCGGGATTTTGTTGTTGTTATTCTGTCTCTCACTGTTCAAATAAACTTACCATTTAAATTATAGACTGATCATGTCTTTGTAAGTGGGCAAACGTACAAAATCAGCAGGGGATCAAATACTTTTTTCTCTCACTGTATGCCATTTAGGAGACGCTTTTAACCAAAGCGACTTACAGTCATGCGTGCATACATTTTACGTAGGGGTGGTCCCAGGAATGGAACCCACTACTCTAGCGTTACTATCGACATGCTCTAATAACTGAAATACAGGACCCCTATCGAATGATCTTTTGAATGTAAAAATGAACTGCCATGATTGGCAACAACAAATGAGCACAGAAACAGATCTGTCAACCAGGCTAATGTTGTAATATGCTAAACCTGACTCTGTAGGTGTGGTCCTGGTCTGAGGCAGCTGTCTGTGAATTCTGAGGATCTGTCTGGTATGGAGCTAGGGTTCTGGACTGGTACCGGTCAGTTACAGGGTCTGATGATGGTCCTGACCAAGCTGACCAACGCCTCGTTCTGCTCTGCAGGGGGAGGGAGGGTGTGGAACCTCACCTCTCTCATTCTCCATGACAACCACCTCACTGAGATCACCACTGATCAGGTCAGTCAGTCTATGTCACTTCTGTTTGTCTATAACTGAACTAACTGTGAGATACAATAACTTTGCTGAGAAATGTATTTGACTTGAGATAATTGTATGATGCTATATAAAATCAGTATGGCAAAGAGTATGATGTTTTGTCATTCTCAGTTCTCCTGCATGCCCCTGCTGGAGCACTTGGATCTGAGTAGGAACCATATCTACTTGCTGGCCCACCGGGCTCTCCAGGGTATGCCGCTCCTCCGCGTCCTCGACCTCACCCACAACAAAATCTCCCTGCTAGGAGAAGATGACTTTGAGGGCCTGCCTGCTCTAGAGGTCAGATCGGGATATTTTTATTATGTTGATGTGCTAAGTGCTATAGGTTTGGAGGGGAAACAGATTATTATGGTAATCAATCATTGATGATTGATGATGTGACTTCCCTCCTGGAAGGGAACAAGATCTCGGGGGGCATCGCTCATGGGTTGTTCCGTAGACAGCATCGACTCCAAGACCTCAGCCTGGGAGCTCTACGAGCTCATCCTCAACATGCTGTTCCTGGGCTTCCCCACCAAGCTCCAGCACCTCCTCATCGACACAGGCCCAGGAACCTACCTCACCGTGGGCCATGTTCCCGCTCCTGAGGTCCCCATGGTCCTGGAACTCAGAGAGAAGTTGATCCAGTCCTCTGACTGTGTCAACAACATGTTCCCCATGGTCCGAGAGCTGAAGGTGGGCCAGGATGATGATTTACTCTGTACTGTATCTCAATGTGATGTCTAGCAGTAATCTTCAACCATGGTGCTGGCGAAACTAAAGGTGTGCAGGCTATTGCTCCATCCTCCAGTACTAACACACTTCCCACTGGGCAAAAACGGATTGAATCAACATTGTTTCCACATCATTTCAAGCAAAATAAATCTATGTGATGACGTTGAATCAATGTGGAAAACTGATTGGATTTGCAAAAGGTAATCAACCTAAGAGCATTTTGTATTTTTTTCACCCAACTTTTAACCTAAATCTAATGACATGGTGACGTTTGTTGTTGATTTCATGTTCAATTCACAATAGTTGACAACTCAACCAAATGTAAATCAAAACTAGACGTTGAACTGACATCCGTGCCCAGTGGGTTGGTTTACCTGATCAATTTATATCAAGCTGTGGTTCCACAGGACCAGGATTGAAGAACACTGCTTTATAGCCAAGGATCAGATCTTGTACAGGAAAATTACTCATACTGGTAGCTAGTCAGATAAGTGTCTGCTACCGCCAATTCATGTCATTGTCATGCCTCAACAAAGTTGTGTTGAAGGAGTTGGCTGTAGCAGACACTGATCTGGCTAGCTACCATAATTTTCCTGTAATCTAAGTAATACACATTTTCTGAAAATAGGTGGGTGAGGGGACAACGTTTGCCTGCACCAGCCTTTTCCTGGTCCCCTACTTCCTCAACCTTGAGTCGTTTGAGTTCTCAGCCAACCCTGAGAAGTTTGGCACCCCCTACACAACCAGCTACGAAAACTGAAGAGGCTCAAACTGACCAACCTCAACTTCTCCAACCACACAGACCCCAGTGTCACCTTCAGGAACCTGACGGAGCTCAGGAGCCTAGTGCTGATCAACTGTCGACTCAACTTCCTCACCAGGGTACTAGCTAGCTATTGGTCCATCAATCGATTAATTCATTCATTGATCGTTTTCCCAACCGCTTTTAGTTTCATGCGTACTGATAATGGCCCTGGTGTCTCTACCTTTACATTGAGAGTCCTTAGATCCTTCTAGTGATAGCATCATGTGTTACTACCCATGCTGTCTTTCGCATTACTGTATCTCTCTCTCTCTTGCTCACTCGCTCGTTTATTGGCATGGGAACATATGTTTACATTTGCAAAGGAAGTGAAATAGATAATCAAAAATGAACAGTAAACATTACACTAACAAAAGTTTCAAAGGAATCGAGACATTTCAAATGACATTATGGCTATATACAGTGTTATAACGATGTGCAAATAGTTAAAGAAAAAAAGGGAAAAACAATTAACATAAATATGGGTTTTACAACCCCTTTTCTTGTGGCAACAGGTCGCAAATCTTGCTCCTGTGATGGCACACTGTGTGCAGTGTGCACATAGCCTGTCTTCTCTTGAGAGCCAGGTCTGCCTATGGCGGCCTCTCTTAATAGCAAGGCTATGCTCACTGAGTCTGTACATAGTCAAAGCTTTCCTTAATTTTGGGTCAGTCACAGTGGTCGGTATTCTGCCACTGTGTACACTGTTTAGGGCCAAATAGCATTCCAGTTTTCTCTGTTTTATGGTACATTCTTTCCAGTGTGTCAAGTAATTATCATTTTGTTTTTTCATGATTTGTTTGGGTCTAATTGTGTTGCTGTCTGTGGGGTCTGTTTGTGTTTGTGAACAGAGCCCCAGGACCAGCTTGCTTAGGGAACTCTTCTCTAGGTTAATCTCCCTGTAGGTGATTGCTTTGTTATGGAAGGTTTGGGAATCGCTTCCTTTTAGGTGGTTGTTGAATTTAACAGCTCTTTTCTGGATTTTGATCATTAGCGGGTATCGGCCTAATTCTACTCTACATGCATTATTTGATGTTTTACGTTGTACACAGAGGATGTTTTTGCAGAATTCTGCATGCAGATTCTCAATTTGGTGAATTCTTAGTTGGTGAGTGGACCCCAGACTAATTGGGATGTTTAATTTTATGTTCCTTTTGAGGGCGTAGAAGGCGCTTCTTGCCTCTCAGATCGTTCACAGCTTTGTGGAAGTTACCTGTGTTGCTGATGTTTAGGCCGAGGTAGGTATAGTTTTTTGTGTGCTATAGGGCAACGGTGTCTAGATGGAATTTGTATTTGTGGTCCTGGCAACTGGACCTTTTTTGGAACACCATTATTTTTGTCTTACTGAGATTTACTGTCAGGGCCCAGGTCTGACAGAATCTGTGCAGAAGAGCTAGGTGCTGCTGTAGGCCCTCCTTGGTTGGGGACAGAAGCACCAGATCATCAGCAAACAGTAAACATTTGACTTCAGATCTGTCTCTTTCTCTCCCTTTCTCTTGATCTCATTACTGTATCTCTCTCTTTCTCTCTCTCGCTCTCCCTCTCTCATTCTCTCCTTCTCTCTTTCTCATTACTGTGTCTTTCTCTTTCTCTCTCTCTCTCTCTCTCTCTCTTTCTCTCTCCCTCTCTGTCTCTTTCTCATGAATGTCTCTCTCTCTCTCTCGCTCTCTCTCTCTCTCTCTCTCTCTCGCTCTCTCTCTCTCTCTTTCTCTCTCTCTCTCTCTCTCTCTCTCTCTCTCTCTCTCTCTCCCTCCAGTCCATGTTTACAGACCTGGTGTCTCTACGTGTGTTGAGGCTGTACAGTGAGAGTCCTCTGATCCTGTTGGAGGGGGTCTTCCTCCCCCTGCTGTCTCTCTCCACGCTGGTCTTTGACCAGGTCGACTTCTGCTGTGACTGCTCCAACGGCTGGCTGCTGGACTGGGCCAACAACTCTCGTAAAACACAGGTAAAACAATTCAGGTCCAACTAAAGCTCTGATCTGCTGATAACATAACAGGTACCAGGTTTTTACTAGGGATCGTGTATTTATGATTGATGATTTCTGGTCCTTAACGGGTGCTGTTAACTACACATTATATTGATTATAATCATTCAACAAAAGACTGTTGTCTGAGCACAGCCACAGACTCATCCTCATCTTCCTAGAACACATCTCCCCCTTCGAGCTGTCCGCTTTCCACAGGTAACACACACCAACTCATCTCCTGAATGGACTGAACTTGGAATGGAAGAAATTGTATATGAACAGTAGTGATATGAACAGTAGTGATATGAACAGTAGTGATATGAACAGTAGTGATATGATGTACTGGGTGTTTGTGTTGCAGGCTGGCTAAGCTGGCCAGAACCCGGACCTACCTGGACTGGCCCCAGGATGAGGACGAGAGGGTAACGTTCTGGGAGCGTTTCCGACGAAACATCGCAGAGAGAGACACAGACGAACTTGTGAGAGAAGGGGTCAGATCAGACATTGCACCATTTCTCCTGCTGTTCTCATGAAAGTAACCTTTCTAGTCTAGAATATACACCTATAGTATCTATTTCCATCTGAAGTGTAACCACTACACTATAATGAGTAACTTCATAACTCAGTTACACAGCAGGTCAACCTGACCCTAGTACTGTTACAGCATATAACATACTGTATGTGTTTTCAGATGTCCTTTCATTCTATGTTCATTTTGCAGCATGATCCTCCGGAAGCATCCTGAAGTCATCTGCATGTTCCCGGCGGTGTTCTACGTTTAGAGAGATAGAGTGTTAGCTACTGATCTCAGATAAGGGTGACGTCAAGGGATTCCTTTCCGGACTTCATGTTTTTGCATAATAACGTTCCCTTATTTTGACCTTGCTTTCTTTGCCACTTTTCATTTGACAGTTTAGTCATTTATCAGACGCTCTTATCCAGAGCCACTTACAGGAGCAATTAGGGTTAAGTACCTTGCTCAAGGGCACATCGACATATTTTTCACTTAGTCGGCTCTGGGATTCGAACCAGCGACCTTTGGGTTACTGGCCCAATGCTCTTAACTGCTAGGCTACCTTTCCTTCATCTGCTTTCTTTCATTTACTGATTGTTCAACTAACTGTTCTTCTTTCTGTGCTGTGTGTATTTGAGCACAAAGACAACATTCATATGCTAAACATTCTCCCAGGGAAAGAACACATTTCAATTGGTTAGATATTGTTTTCAGTATATGACCATTTGTTTTAATACATTTTCCACTCTGTAACTCATTGATGCAGTGTGATTTTACAGTAGCTTTATAGTGGGACACTTATCCCATCTGAAGCAGAGTAACGACTCTGAGAGACAGAAGTTTACGACTGCTGTCTCAACTTTACTGATTAAAATATGGAGTTGTGTTGATGTGTTGGTGTGTGTGTGTGTGTGCTTGCAAGAGTGCTTGTCTGTGTGTCTGTGTTTGAATGTGGTGTATGGCTCTCTACCTGCCCTCTCCTCAGTAAGTGCCAGGGCCTGTTCGTTCTAACCCACTGCAGCAGAAGGACAGTGTCCTGTCATCACTAGAGACATCCATTGTTACAGGCTGAGAGATGAGGGTTAATAAGCCATTCTGGTCTGTGTGATAGCTGCTGACTAATCTTTTTTATTTATTTTTTATTTCACCTTTATTTAACCAGGTAAGCCAGTTGAGAACAAGTTCTCATTTACAACTGCGACCTGGCCAAGATAAAGTAAAGCAGTGCGATAAAAACAACAACACAGAGTTACATATGATGCATTTCTACAGCTTTGCATGAATAAATGGGTGATGTGTCTTTTTAAGATTTGGAATAGTCTAAACCTTTAGACAAAGCCGTGTGTGTGTTCTTCATTTTCAAATGTAAAAGATAATAGAGCAGTGTTGGAGATTCATGTTTTTGTAGTCATATCCTCATTGCTGTGTTTGCTCAGTTATTAAACTGACATTCAACTGCAATGGAATTAGTTTGTGCATTTCCTGTGAGTGTGTGAGCATGAATCTATACCTGAATGATGTCACATCAGACCCCTCACTCAGTAGAGTTGGATTCAGACTCCTCTGTGTCTCATTAGTTTTGAGGTTAATGTCAGCTATAGTTTGACTAGGAGAGGAGATGCCACTCATGCCAGAGGGTGCGAATAATTTGCTACCCATTGACTCTGGTCAGATTGAGAGACTCACATAACTACACTCACAATGAAACTGACTTTATAACACTGATGTTAGATTTTTATCAAGACAGACTCAAACCAATAGAATATCCTAAATTCAAGCCAAAGGGCGAAACATGCAATACACAATCCCTCATTTTCTGCAGATGATAAAGTTGATTTGTCCCGCCCAAGGCTAAGTAAACCAGAAGGGCTGTTCTGAGAGGTTTTAGCATAAGCATAGCGACTTTTTGCATTCATATAGTGGTGGTGGTGGATAAATCAAGCCGGTTCAGACAGCAAACCCGAGTGTTGCATCAGCTGATATTGCACCAATTAGATCATCGCTCTACGTTAATATGGGGGTCTATTTAGTCCACCAGGTTCTGCACACACTTCTATAATGGCTGCTGCACGTAAGCTATGTGCTGGTGTTCTTGGTGACATACAGTACTGTTGCTGTAACATGTCTGTTTCCTGATTTCCCACCAGCCACCACAGCCTCCACCTGTTAGGTTCTGTGTTTCCTTCCTGCAGGAGGATTGGTATAGCACACCTTGCTCTCTGCCTGTAATTATTATTAGCTTAACATTATGCATGCTCTGGCAGTGAGCTACCCCGAAGGAGCTGAGCCTAATGCCAAGACTAACGTATTCTAATCTTTTCGAATAAATGGTTAAATGAACACGTGGGGTTTCCTTTCTGAAGGTGAGTGCTTTTCAGTGTTGTATAAATGCAATAATCACGTCATGGAAAGAAACCAGTGGTCAGTGTGGGGTAATTTAGCTTACACTATTACAGACACCTTAACCTTGAAGTGGACGGAATGGACGCAATGACAGGAGAAACATTTACAAGAGATGATTGGGACGGGGGACGGGGACGGACGGGGGGGGGGTTGATTTTATGAAGAGGAGGGGAGTATAAGAGAGGGAGAGAGAGAGAGAGGGGGAAAAGCTTACCTTCACACGCACCACCTCAACACACTCACCACCTTAGCCACTGGCAGCAGTGTCCAGGTGAGTTAATACTTCTAATCTACCTCCATATTTATCTATAAACTGAATATACATCTTCTATCGTTTAACTCCTTCTCTGTCTAATGTTTCTATCTCCTGTCCTGTCCTTTCCATTCAATCGTTTTCTCCCCTCCTCTGTAACACTTGCTGTTTTTTGTCAATGCTGTCTTTGACGTGACTTGGTCTGTAGTATTTTATCTACGCATTTATACGATTTTTCAGTTCAATAACCTCTCCACTGTGACTGTCTTGTATTCTGTTTTGTCCCATCAGAACTCTGCCTCTTCTCCATTCGTTCTTCCCCTCTCTCTCTCTCCCTCTCCCTCTCCCTCTCCCTCTCCCTCTCCCTCTCCCCTCTCTCTCCTCTCTCTCTCCTCTCTCTCTCTCTCTCTCTCTCTCTCTCTCTCTCTCTCTCTCTCTCTCTCTCTCTCTCTCTCTCTCTCTCTCTCTCTCTCTCAAAAAGTGAAGTAGATAGTAAACAAAAGTGAAATAAACAATACATATTAACAGTAAACATTACACTCAGAAGTTTCAAAAGAATAAAGACATTTCAAATGTCATATTATGTATATATACAGTGTTGTAACAATGTGCAAATAGTTAAAGTACAAATGGGAAAATAAATAAACATAAATATGGGTTGTATTTACAATGGTGTTTGTTCTTCACTGGTTGCCCTTTTCTTGTGGCAACAGGTCACAAATCTTGCAGCTGTGATGGCACACTGTGGTTTTTCACCCAGTAGATAAGGGAGTTTATCAAAATTGGGTTTGTTTTCGAATTCTTTGTGGATCGCTGTAATCTGAGGGAAATATGTGTCTCTAATATGGTCATACATTTGGCAGGAGGTTAGGAAGTGCAGCTCAGTTTCCACCTCATTTTGTGGGCAGTGTGCACATAGCCTGTCTTCTCTTGAGAGCCAGGTCTGCCTACGGCGGCCTTTCTCAATAGCAAGGCTATGCTCACTGAGTCTGTACATAGTCAAAGCTTTCCTTAAGTTTGGGTCAGTCACAGTGGTCAGGTATTCTGCCACTGTGTACTCTCTGTTTAGGCCCAAATAGCATTCTAGTTTGCTCTGATTTTTTGTTTGTTCTTTCCAATGTGTCAAGTAATTCTCTTTTTGTTTTCTCATGATTTGGTTGGGTCTAATTGTGTTGTTGTTGTTGTTGTTGTCCTGGGGCTGTGTGGGGTCTGTTTGTGTTTGTGAACAGAGCCCCAGGACAAGCTTACTTAGGGGACTCTTCTCCAAGTTCATCTTTCTGTAGGTGATGGCTTTGTTATGGAAGGTTTGGGAATCGCTTCCTTTTAAGTGGTTATAGAATTTAACGGCTCTTTTCTGGATTTTGATAATTAGCGGGTATTGGCCTAATTCTGCTCTGCATGCATTATTTGGTGTTTTACGTTGTACACGGAGGATGTTTTTGCAGAATTCTGCATGCAGTCTCAATTTGGTGTTTGTCCCATTTTGTGAATTCTTGGTTGGTGAGTGGACCCCAGACCTCAGAACCACAAAGGGCAATGGGTTCTATAACTGATTCAAGTATTTTAAGCCAGATCCTAATTGGTATGTCAAATTTTATGTTCCTTTTGATGGCATAGAAGGCCCTTCTTGCCTTGTCTCTCAGATCGTTCCTCTCTCTCTCTCTGTCAGTGATGGAGGCAGCCATTGGTGTACTGGTGTCCCAGTTCAAGGCGTTTTCTGGAAGTGATGGATCCTCAGACACCCTGAGCAGAGATGAGTTCCAGAGCCTGGTCAAAGCACAACTCCCCAACTTCGTTAAGGTAATTACATGTTAATTATACTGTGGTAACGTTTGAGTAATACTATAATAACCAGTGATCACCATCCCCTGCCTTGGTGTGCAGGCTTTTATTCCAGTCCAGCTATAATACAACTGATTCAGCTTGATGATTAGTGCTGGGCTGTAACAAAAGCGTACACCCTTTGGCTTTCCAGGAGCGGGGTTGGTGGGCCACAATGTCAGTTTGTGGTACACTTAATTTCCTCTAGATGGGGACATAAACAGCACAGATGCCTCTTGTCCTGCCAACCTCTGCCTCCTGTGGTATATCAGTATGGCCATGCTAGAATAGACAACATTTGCATTTGTACTTGTAAAGTGCTGTACCAACATCCTTTCTAGAATGGCCAAATAGTGACACCCAGCAAATAGCTTCATTTCCTTATTCCCTTCTCATGACCTCAGATTTTAGAAAGGTTTCTTCTCCTCTCACGGCTTTATTCTGACAAGTATAATCAGATCAGTCAGTGTGGTTCTGAATCTGAGGAGACGAGGAAAGGAAGCCTCTTAATTAGTGATTCTGACGGCCCTTATCGCCCCCCATGTAGAACGCTGGTGACCCAGCTGTCATCGACCGACTCATGGACTCAATTGATGAGAACAACGACGGAGAGCTCACCTTCCTGGAGTTCTGGCAGCTGATTGGACGACTAGCAAATCAACACGGCGACTTTAGCCAATAGGATGTCTCCATGTCTTGTTCTGTTACTACCATATAATTACAATGATAACTTATTCTAATGGTATGGTTATCCCCATGTTGTGTTTCTAAATTGAAGTGTCACGTGTTTGCTAAAGCAATGGAGGATTGGTCTCGACCTGCAAAATAAAAACATGGATGAATCATACAATTGCAGGATCTACTGGACTACCTGACTATCTTTGTTTCTTTCTTTCTCCCTTTCTGTCGCAGCCAGAATTACCTCCTTGTTTTGAAAGTATAATGATGTCTCGCCAAACTAGCCAGACTAAAACTAATCCTGCGTAGACACACAGAGCTGTGATGGCGTCGGACTGTGTCTGCATTGTCTGTGTAAATTGAGAATCTTGGTGTGTAAACAGAATTTATTCTGGGCCCTGTTGTGAATGAGGTTGTACCTCCTGGCAAATGAACAGGAGGCTGTAGGACTGAAAGAGAAAAACCCCATTGTTAAGTGTATAGGCACTAGGCAGGAGTAAAGAATTGTGGACATTGCATGGATGTCAGTCTTTCAGTCTTACTGCTTCAGCCAATGATGACTGCTATGATAAAACATGTTTGGTATGACAGCGGTGAAAGAGTTGGCTAAAGCAAAATAATATCTGGCTCCCAGACTAGGGAGAATCAGTAGCGGTGCGTGGGTAAAATCAATGGGGAAGCCAAACCAGAAAAAAAAGCCATATTGCAACCTACTTGTTGTGATAATTGCGTTGTTTGCTCTATAACCTGTTAGTTCATATGCCTTGCCACTGTGATATATAGGCCTAAGGCCGAGACAATAAGAAGACACAGTGGCACAATAAATTCAACCACACTTTCTATTTTTACAAAATCGGATAGCAACCTCTGTCCAGTAAAGTCCACAAAACATATTGCATGTACAGAAACAGATAGTTACATGACCTACAGCATGGTAAAGCAAGTTAATGTTTCCGACATTTTCGGACTACTAAATAACTATTGATTTAGAACACCGGAGAGTTACCGCAAGTCGCAAAGAAAACAGGAGCTGCTTCCACTATTCCAGCACCATTTCAACTTCAACATTTCAACATCATCAAATCACCTATGCTTAGTCTAATACAGTGACAACTAAAAGATTCCAAAAACAATTTAGTCCAATCAACTTAATCTGTGTGGGTGTGTGCGTAAGTAGCAAAAAACATGTTGACTCACCCTACTTGTAGACACGCCAATGCCATCCTCCTCTCTTTCATGTTGCCGAAACAGTCTATGACTTTGTCATACAGTACACACTATTCGTTTTTTGTTGTCCTAGCCTAACTTCCTTTCATGGACAACGATTAGCTTGTTAACATAAGCCTACTACATCTAGCTACATTGAACTTCCATCCTCTCAGGCCAGAGGCACAATGTATGAATTTATGGTTGGATCAGAATCAAAATTATAATCATTGGCCAGTACAGAGAATTACAGTGCATTTGGAAAGTATTCAGACCCCTTGACTTTTTCCACATTTTGTTACGTTGCAGCCTTATTCTAAAATTGATTAAATAACACATTTTCCTCATCAATCTACACACAATACCCCATAATGACAAAGCAAAAACTGTTTTTTAGGAATTTTTGCAAATGTATTAAAAATAAAAAACTGAAATACCTTATTTGTATAAGTGTTCAGACCCTTTGCTATGAGACTCGAAATTGAGCTCAGGTGCATCCTGTTTCCAGTGATCATTCTTGAGATGTTTCTACAACTTTATTGGAGTCCACCTGTGGTAAATTAAATTCATTGGACATGATTTGGAAAGGCACACACCTGTCTATATAAGGTCCTACAGTTGACAGTGCATGTCAGAGCAAAAACCAAGCCATGAGGTCGAAGGAATTGTCCGTAGAGCTCTGAGACGGGATTGTGTTGAGGCACAGATCTGGGGGAGGGTACCAAAACATTTCTGAAGCATTGAAGGTCCCCAAGAACACAGTGGCCTCCATCATTCTTAAATGGAAGAAGATTGGAACCACCAAGACTCTTCCTAGAGCTGGCCGCCCGGCCAAACTGAGCAATCGGGGGAGAAGGGCCTTGGTTAGGGAGGTGACCAAGAACCCGATGGTCACTCTGACAGAGCTCTAGAGTTCCTCTGTGGAGATGGGAGAACCTTCCAGAAGGACAAGCATCTCTGCAGCACTCCACCAATCAGGCCTTTAAGGTAGAGTGGCCAGACGGAAGCCATTCCTCAGTGAAAGGCACATGACAGCCCGCTTGGAGTTTGCCAAAAGGCACCTAAAGGACTCTCAGACCATGAGAAACAAGATTCTCTGGTCTAATGAAACCAAGATTGAACTCTTTGGCCTGAATGCCAAGTGACACGTCTGGAGGAAACCTAGCACCATCCCTACGGTGAAGCATGGTGGTGGCAGCATCATGCTGTGGGGATGTCTTTCAGCGGCAGGGACTGGGAGACTAGTCAGGGTCGAGGGAAGGATTTACAGAGCAAAATATAGAGAGCTACTTGATGAAAACCTGCTCCAGAGCGCTCAGGACCTCAGACTGGGGCGAAGGTTCACCTTCCAACAGGACAACGACCCTAAGAACACAGCCAAGACGACGCAGGAGCGGCTTCGGGACAAGTCTCTGAATGTCCTTGAGTGGCCCAGCCAGAGCCCGGACTTGAACCCGATCTAACATTTCTGGAGAGACCTGAAAATAGGTGTGCAGCGACGCTCCCCATCTAACCTGACAGAGCTTGAGAGGATCTGCAGAGAAGAATGGGAGAAACTCCCCAAATACAGGTGTGCCAAGCTTGTACCATCATACCCAAGAATACTCTAGGCTGTAATCGCTGCCAAAGGTGCTTCAACAAAGTACTGAGTAAAGAGTCTGAATACTTATGTAAATGTGATATTTACGTTTTTTATTTTTAATACATTTGCAAAAATTATTTTGGCTTTGTCATTATGGGGTATAATGTGTAGATTGATGAGGATTATATATATATTTTTAATCCATTTTAGAATAAGGCTGTAACATAACAAAATGTGCAAAAGGTCAAGGGGTCTGAATACTTTCAGAATGCACTGTAAGAACCACAAGTCCAAATCCCTATCTCCATCCATGGCTAATTTAGGAAATTGCCAATTTTAGCTAGCTAGCTATCCACCAGAGGACAACAACACAATGAGATGCAACAATTCAAGTTGTTTTCTGTCAATGACATTTGGCTTTTGATGTGATTGGTGTGAAGCCAAATCCAAACTGGCTTCCCTTGACACTTTTTTAGGGTGTGCCAGGACCATTCACAGTTGTTTACTTAGTTTAGCTCAACCCTGGTTGGCTATTATTGTTTTTTTTAAAAATATCAAGGGAGGCCAAATGCTCACTGGCTTCCCTTGCATTCAATGCTACTGGCGCCAACAATATCATTCTCTTTTTGACAAGAGAGCATCAGATAGATGGGCTACACATACAAAGACAGAGGGGCGCTGTATCGCTCGCGCGGATGCTTTCTCCGGTGTGATACATTCAACCTCTTGCGAATTGAAGGAAACGTATGAAACACAGAGACGAAAGATACATTCTTTTATCCGTTTATTTTTTTTGTTAATTTCTTGGGGAAGCCTGGCTTCCCTTGGCAACCATGAATACACGCCACTGGGGAGAATGTAGCCTACGTGTAAATAACCAACTGACTAAAAACATGGCTGTGAATATGTTCTAACTGAACCTATCTGTGAGTTATACATGACTGTAGTAAGTTTATCCTCGCTTTGTGAATAATTATACATTATGGTTTGTGTTTCTGAACAGCGTGGTTGAATAAACTCGAACTGATGTTGACTTTAAGGGTGTGGTGGAAATATGACTGGGGTCTACTACCACACACACACCTTATTGCCTGTTCACACTTGCTCACTCAAGGTGCTAATGCAATGTGGTGGCTTAAATATTTGTGCCATCCCTAACATTGAAATGTGGAAAGTAATCTTTAAGTTACTTTTTACGTTTTGTGGAGGGTTCATAAGAACATACCTAAGTTTATCATAGTAAGCCTACAAATTGTTTTAATTTTTCTAAATACAACATTGCATTGTTTTTAGAATGAAGCTATAGTCTACAATAAAACCATCTATTCTAAACATGAAAATAAAATAATTGGCAAACTATAGAGTAGTTATTAACACAATGAAATGAATATGTTGGCAGCACTTCCCTTCCCCCTTTATCTATTTCCTAACTCCCTCGCTCTCTCCCAGCCACACGCCCCCCCCTCTCCCAGGCACACGCCCTTCTATGACACAATACAAAAAAGTTTGGTGAAGAAAAATTCTATCACGGAAGAGATTCTTTTGAGTGCAACTAGTTGATCAAGTTTGAGCCTTTAGAAGAGTGCCTGAGAGTCTGGGAGAGACAGAGAGAGAGCCTGGACAAGATCATTTAAATCGAACACATTTGTTTTTTTGCTCAATCACAATCTAACGGTGAGTAGATAAAGTAACTGAAGTATGTAGCCTAGCCTGTTTGTCTGAAGTTCCGTTGACTCAAACAGGGCATTGCGCTGATGGATCCAAATGGGCCTCCCAGAAAACAAATAAAAATGTGTTTTAGTTTACTTCCTCCGTTCGAACATCAATAATGTATAGTTTGCGAGCGTGTCTATTGTCCTAAGGCTACCTAGCCTGATGGCCAGGGATCGGGTTCTCCTTGTCGGTCACCCAATCCTCAATCCTTTTACACTTCAGGACTAACCGGAGAGCGCGTCTTTATTTATTTATTTCACCTATGTCAGCCTTACCTCGGGACAACTCTACAAATCGACCGGATTAGTTAGTCTAAATTTAGACTAAAGGCGGGGGGCACAAAACCACGATGGGTAGGCTACCCCCAATCGTCTCAAATTATGCGCGAGCCCAAGAGTGACGGGTTCGGTCGTTGTTGCAGTGACAAGCTTGTGGACAATGACATCCGTTCGAGTCTGTCAACAACATTAACACCGACCGTGGCCCTGTGTAACAGCAGCCAGGGCAGCTCGCTCGCTGCTCTTTTCACCCTGAATAATTAACGAACGGTAAGACACCGGTAGCGCGAGTCGAATGGCGAACCAGGTGTATTTAATAGCAAGGGGGAGAAATGGCTTGTGGCAAGAGGCGATGACAGCAACATGCAGGTATGGTTGTGCAACTGAGTCAGTCACACCTTGTAAGGTATGGAACACATCACATCCTCGTTGATTGATTCGGGTTGGCCATCGATATAATCAAAACTCATGCAGGTGAAGTGAGTCCACTGAACCGAGTTTCACACAGTTAATAGGCATGGATAGAGTGAGTGGACTTGGCTCTAAATAGGCAATAGTGTGAAAGTGCCCAGCGCTCATTTATTGAGTCAGGCCTGTAGCAGTGGTTCTCAAACTTTGCTGTGCTGTGAACCACCCAAAGCATTCTGAAAATGATTCTCCTAAATAGACTGAAGCAAGTTCTCTCCGCCATCTTCAGGCCCTCACATGATTGTATCTATCCCCTAAATGTGTTAGGAAAGGAGAAGAATATGTACATTTTCAGGTTGCAAGCCTTGTAGAACACACAATGGCTTGGAGAACACACAAAAAAAAAATGTATGCACGCATGACTGTAAGTCGCTTTGGATAAAAGCGTCTGCTAAATGGCATATATTATATTATATTATGAGAACAAACAACACACCCGGCACACACTGGTTGAAATAACGTTGTTTCAACATAATTTACCAACGTATCGTGACGTGAATCAACATGGAAAATACATGGGATTTGAAAAAAGTATACCAGTACTGTTTTCATCTCGTTTCGACCAGCATTGTAAACATTGGAATTAGGGTAAAACGTCAACTTAAATACATTGACTTAACCTGACGAACAGATTGTTACATCAATCTAATTTCAACATAATAATCAGAACTATGTATCAGTTGAAATTGCGTTAAATTCCACTTAGAAACATAAAAATAGTTTTCATCATTCAATATGGATGAAATTACGTACAATTTCATATTTGATTAGACATATTTTATTTAACCTTCAACGTCATGCCATCAACGTAAATATAGAGGTACAGTGAGGGAAAAAAGTATTTGATCCCCTGCTGATTTTGTATGTTTGCCCACTGACAAAGAAATGATCAGTCTATCATTTTAATGGTGGGTTTATTTGAACAGTGAGAGACAGAATAACAACAAAAATCCAGAAAAACGCATGTCAAAAATATTATAAATTGACTAGCATTTTATTGAGGGAAATGCGTATTTGACCCCCTCTCAATCAGAAAGATTTCTGGCTCCCAGGTGTCTTTTATACAGGTAACGAGCTGAGATTAGAGCACACTCTTAAAGGGAGTGCTCCTAATCTCAGTTTGTTACCTGTATAAAAGACACCTGTCCACAGAAGCAATCAATCAATCAGATTCCAAACTCTCCACCATGGCCAAGACCAAAGAGCTCTCCAAGGATGTCAGGGACAAGATTGTAGACCTACACAAGGCTGGAATGGGCTACAAGACCATCGCCAAGCAGCTTGGTGAGAAGGTGACAACAGTTGGTGCTATTATTCGCAAATGGAAGAAACACAAAATAACTGTCAATCTCCTTTGGCCTGGGGCTCCATGCAAGATCTCACCTCGTGGAGTTGCAATGATCATGAGAACGGTGAGGAATCAGCCCAGAACTACACGGGAGGATCTTGTCAATGATCTCAAGGCAGCTGGGACCATAGTCACCAAGAAAACAATTGGTAACACACTACGCCGTGAAGGACTGAAATCCTGCAGCGCCCGCAAGGTCCCCCTGCTCAAGAAAGCACATATACAGGGCCGTCTGAAGTTTGCCAATGAACATCTGAATGATTCAGAGGAGAACTGGGTGAAAGTGTTGTGGTCAGATGAGACCAAAATCGAGCTCTTTGGCATCAACTCAACTCGCCGTGTTTGGAGGAGGAGGAATGCTGCTTATGACTCCAAGAACACCATCCCCACCGTCAAACATGGAGGTGGAAACATTATGCTTTGCGGGTGTTTTTCTGCTAAGGGGACAGGACAACTTCACCGCATCAAGGGGACGATGGACGGGGCCATGTACCGTCAAATCTTGGGTGAGAACCTCCTTCCCTCAGCCAGGGCATTGAAAATGGGTCGTGGATGGGTATTCCAGCATGACAATGACCCAAAACACACGGCCAAGGCAACAAAGGAGTGGCTCAAGAAGAAGCACATTAAGGTCCTGGAGTGGCCTAGCCAGTCTCCAGACCTTAATCCCATAGAAAATCTGTGGAGGGAGCTGAAGATTGGAGTTGCCAAACGTCAGCCTCAACCTTCATGACTTGGAGAAGATCTGCAAAGAGGAGTGGGAACAAAATCCCTCCTGAGATGTGTGCAAACCTGGTGGCCAACTACAAGAAACATCTGACCTCTGTGATTGCCAACAAGGGTTTTGCCACCAAGTACTAAGTCATGTTTTGCAGAGGGGTCAAATACTTATTTCCCTCATTAAAATGCAAATCAATTTATAACATTTTTGACATGCGTTTTTCTGGATTTCTTTGTTGTTATTCTGTCTCTCACTGTTCAAATAAACCTACCATTAAAATTATAGACTGATCATGTCTTTGTCAGTGGGAAAACGTACAAAATCAGCAGGGGATCAAATACTTTTTTCCCTCACTGTATATTTAAATACAATGTGAAGCCACAGTCCTACAATTCCTGCCTGAACATTCTCTCCTAGTGGTATATGAGGGTAATTCACTTCAGTGAGAACAAGTCTACCATCCAGATACCTAGCTCTATTTTACCCTACTTAGCGTTGGAAACAAGCTGTGTAAGATTCAACTGAGCTATCATGCCAACACAAATAAACATTGATCAGCTTCCATACTCATTTGCGTAGACTACCTAAATAACGTTGAATAGTTGAAAGTAACTAACTTTTCTCACACAAGCTGTATGTGAAAGTAAATTTAGAGTGAGGTTTATTAAACATAAATTAAACATGTCTTGTTGGAGCCTGAACTGACCTGGTTTTCCCAGGTCATTGCTTCAAACATAAATCACCAAACTAGTGGTACCTACTAAACTCTGTTCTCTCCTCTCCTCCCTCTCCCTGACAGAGTCCTGTCCAGGGTTCTGCTCTGTATTCTGGTGCAGCCCGGGCAGCTTGGTTTCACACCAGTTAGTCTCATTACATCCTCGGTTTGGGCCTAAAAATACACTATTTGATCGACCTGCTCTCACACTCTCTCTCACACACACACACACACACACACACACACACACACACACACACACACACACACATAATAAATAACAAGGATGGGCAGCTTTGATGGGGGTGGGGGCCACCAAAAATCTGAACTCATCATGAGGGGCCCCAGTGGCTCGTGGGTTTGCATACCCACATCCATAACCACACATGCAGTCAGAGCCTGTCCTAGCCTTTTGGGGGCCCTAAGTGAAATTATTTGAGTTAAATTCCGGTAATTCTACACTTTGCCATGGGGCGTAGAGAAAATGTTGCAGTTTTAAAGCATGTTTGCTGCAATTCTACACATTTTGCCACGGAGTGGAGACAAATGTTTTCCCGTTTTTAATATAATATCTGATGGTCAATGGGGGTCCCGGTCTGTAATTCGACCATGATTACTACACGTTTAGATAATTAGACACTAGACTAACTTAGCAATCTAAAACATGTTAGTTGACATGGCTAATTGACTGACTATCAGTGACTGACATAACAAGAGAGAAACTGCTGATGCACAACCACATTTAGAAATAGCCCCTTGTGCATTCTACTATTCTAACTCGCAACAGTAAGTTGAGACCCCGACTGAGTTCCTGAAAAATGTGTGTGGAAATTAATCTGCGGGCTTACAGAAGGGATCCAGTTTCCCATCCATTATATAATAATATATGCCATTTAGCAGATGCTTTTATACAAAGCGACTTAGTTATGCGTGCATACATTTTACTTAGTCATGCGTGCATACATTTTACTTAGTTATGCGTGCATACATTTTACTTAGTCATGCGTGCATACATTTTACTTAGTTATGTGTGCATACATTTGACTTACAGTCATGAGTGCATACAAACCCACTACCCCGGCGTTACTAGCACCATGCGCTACCAACTGAGCTACAAAGGACCACACACACAGAGCTTGTCCTAATTATGGACGATGGGTGTGGCTTGCTCGGGACACCCGCAGGCTGGTGAAATAGTGATGAAAGGGACGAAGGTGATGAGATGTCCAGCAGTGTGGGTCTGTTTTGTTTTTTTTGGGGGGGGGGTTAATGTGTTTGTTACAGTGGGACTCGAACAGGATAGTGTGTATGTGTGGCATCAAGGTGGGATATGAAACAGAATCCTACACCTGGCATCAGACCATTGGTGTGTTTGCTGTCACTCACCCACTAATTAGGCTAATGTAAGAGCAGTCCTAATTGGCCTTGGCCCAGGGGACAGGTTTGTCTGTGTCAGGTGTGTGTGTGTGTTTGTGGGAATGGGCATGCATTTTGGTGTGTCAGTATGTGTGTGCACTCAGGCGTGTCAGATGGGAGATTTACCTGTGGGTTGGGCCTCTAGGGTTACCCTCATCAGGACATCACCCATCACCATTACCCTTATCAGGAAATCACCCTACCCACCCTCAGGACATCACCCTACCCACCCTCAGGACATCACCCTACCCACCCTCATATATATATATATCTAGAGAGAGAGAGAGAGAGTAACAGACAGGTCTTAGCTTTAGTAATGTGAACCCATAGCCTTCTGCTGACTTATGGTGATCAGGTATCCCAATCTCCATCAGAGATCACAGCTCCCATTGTTTACCTCAGAGACTCCTCTGCCCCCTCTTCTCCCTCCCTCCATCCACCCCTCTCTCCATCCTTTCCTTAGTTTCCTTAGTTTCCTCACTGTGCTCTCCTCCCATCTCCCTCCATCCCTCTCTTCCATCCTTTTCCTTCTATTCTGATGTCATCTTTCTACACTCTTAGGAAAAAAAAGGTGTTATCTAGAACCTAAAAGGGTTCTTCGGCTGTCCCCATTGAAGAACCCTTTTTTGTTCCAGTTAGAGCAGTTGCTGCATTCAACTGTCTAAACATGTGATTTTTCTGTCCTCCCGCCCCCGCCCCCATCCTCTCCCCTCTCCCAGTAGCTATGGAGTCGGCCATCCAGACAGTGGTAGGAGTGTATCTGAAGTCTGCCAAAGGGAAGGGCAGTCTAGGAGAAAAGGACTTCCAGGGCCTCGTCAAGAATCAGCTGGGCAACATCATGACTGTAAGTTCCACCTATCCCTGTATCACTACTCCTCAACCCTAACCTCAACCACAATCCTAACCCTAGCTTCAATCCTCGACCACAACCCTAACCCTAGATTCGTGTCCACATCCCGGTTCAACCCGAACCCTAGCCTCAACCACAACCCTAACCCTAGCTTCATCTCCACATCTTCAACCCTAACCTTAACCAGAGCCATAATGCAAACCAGCACCAGGTGTTCTTGGGGAAGTGATCTTTAATGATAGACTCTTTCTTTCTCTCTCGCTCTCTCTCTCTGTATCCCTGCTCTCTTCCCCTCTCACCTCATAGGGAACAGAAAGTTCCTCTGCGGTGAAAGAGATGCGTCAGGGATTGGACGAGAACGATGATGGGAAGGTCAGCTTCAAGGAATACATGACTCTGATTGGCTACCTGGCAAACACCCTCAGCGAGCAGAGGACTGCAGCCAACACCACACCTGCCTCATAGGAACTACATATGGCTTCATAGGCACTCTATAAGACGTCTTATGCATTCTATAAGGCAGTGTTCTTCAATCCTTGTCCTAGTGACCCACAGGGTGTGCAGGCTTTAGTTCCATTCCAGCACTGACACACCAGATTAAACTCATAAAGGCTTTGATGGGTTTGAGTTGATTATAGTGTGTGGGACCACAGGACCAGGCTTGAAGAACACTGCCATATGGCTCCATGTTCCTATAGAGGCTCATAGACCTGTCATGGACTGTCAATCTCCCTTGTTGGCTCTATATCACTACATAATCACACTGGTAACTTCTACTCAACATATTTTATATGCTTACAATACACTACCAATCTTTTATAAATACTTTATCGAGGCATTTTTAACATTAAGTTCAACAGTTCTTTTTTAAAATATAACTACTCAAAATCAACACTAAATGGTTTATTATCATGTTGAAATAAATGCCATGCCAACGTTTTAAAGTGATGTCTTCTTTCACAGCACTGCTCTAGCATCAGCTCTAAATTACATTCTCTAGGTTGCCCTGTGTCATGAAGGCTCACACTCACCTTATAGAACCAATATTCTCTAGGTTGCCCTGCGTCATGAAGGCTCACACACACTCACTCACCTTATAGAACCAATACGCTGATACCTGCTTCCATGGCCACCAGCGGCGCCTTCTAAATTTAGTCGTGTCACACTCCGTGGCCCACGATGCACCAGCATATTGAAACTGGACACCAATGTACAACACCACCTATTGTGCTCAGTAAGGATACACATACGTCTTCTGCCAACAGAATGCAATGCTGCATTGCACCAGGGAGAGAGAAACAAGTCTATACTGTAACACAGGCAGATCTATACACTACAATCCTACATTCCACTCCTCTGGGGCTAGCAGCCTCAGAGCTTTAGTGGGTGCAACATACAAGTAGTGTACGTTACATTAACATTCAGACTGTTAGAAAACAAGACGTGCACAGACAGTATACAATTCAGTGGTTGTATAAGCCTGAGGCGTGGGCAAAGAAACAAGGCTACACTGACCAGTACAGATAAACAAGGAGACGCACTTAGTTTGCTGTTTAGGTTTGCGGAGTGCAGTTGTCATATTAAAATATACATTGTCACAATAGCTGTGCATTTGTATGAATGTAGGATTTTTGTGTAATTTTGTTTCCTTGAATACATTTGTGTGTGTGTGTCTGTGTGTTACAGAAGGGATAACTCTATGCATGGCTGCCTGTCAAGGGTGTTGTTTCCATTCAGATAGTACCCTCTGATCCTGTATCAGGTACCAGCTTCCCTTTCAAACAGCCTCAGGCCAGACACGCACACACATTCGGCTAACCACAGCCTCAGGTCTGTTGATCTGTTTACATTATAAACCCCCTCTGGAGCGCCTATATTCCCCTAACGCCATTCCAAAATGTTCTGCATTTCATTTCAACAACCACTACCATCTAACCTACTGGGGGACATAACCATTGTTTCAGGCCATAACCTAATCATCAGCTGAAATTGGCTGCTGCCCATCAGTGGGTCCAACACAGCATTTGGAAACACACAGTACCAGGCCAGGCCAAGCATGGCAGCTGTTCTACCAGACCCAGCCAACAAGGTCATCACACCACACACCCTAAGGGGAGCAGACGCACCTCACTGTTCAATGAGCAGATGCTTGAGAATATGATAATTAAATTAAATATTTTCAATTTCAGAGTACAAGTATTGAGATGGTCTTTCAGACGGACTGTATTCTTTGAAAGAATATTGTTGGCGCCATAGCAGGGTCTCTGTGTGACTTCACTCATGTTTGGCCTCACCTTCCTCCAGGGTTTATCCTGTTGTTGTGATGTTTATCTAACCACGCTTTCACTGCTTCTCCTGGCCTGGCCTGTGTTTTGACACGCAGTACAATATGGTTACAGGCGCGTGCCTCGGTAATCCACTGCTACAATAGCACACTGTGACTGAGTCAGAAAGTGATACCCCATTGTGGCTCTCTCTGCACCTCTGCCCATAGTGGCTCTCTCTGCACCTTGGTTCCATTGTGGCTCTCTCTGCACCTTGGTTCCATTGTGGCTCTCTCTGCACCTTGGTTCCATTGTGGCTCTCTCTGCACCTTGGTTCCATTGTGGCTCTCTCTGCACCTCGGCTACATCGTGCTCTCTCTGCACCTTGGTTCCATTGTGGCTCTCTCTGCACCTTGGTTCCATTGTGGCTCTCTCTGCACCTTGGTTCCATTGTGGCTCTCTCTGCACCTTGGTTCCATTGTGGCTCTCTCTGCACCTCGGCTACATCGTGCTCTCTCTGCACCTCGGCTCTCTGTGGCCAAAGTGGATAAATAGGCTACACCACATCGCTCCCCTCTCATCCTCTCCTCCTCTTTTCTTCTCCTCACATCCCTGTCTCTCTTAAAAACGTCTTAATGGAATCATGAATTATCCTTCATGATTTAATTCACATCTCTCACAGGTAAAACTGCTAGAGTGTTCTCCAGTGTTCTCGACACTAGGTCAAGCACTGTACCATACTGTGCCACACTCTACAGTAGTGAGTATGTCACACCAGTGGGGGTAATATTTCATACTAATAATCTAAATGTGATCATCCTGAGGTAGTGATGTGGTGTCATGTCTGACAGCTTTTATGATGGATGGATCTTATCTGTCCATCACAGGAGGGCAGGTGTCCGTCGCGTAAACAGAGAAGGTGGAGAGGAGACGGGGGAGATAGGACAGAGAAGAGGAGCAACAGGTGGAAGAAGAGAGGGAGGGATGGAGGAGGGGAAAGAGACTGAAGTGGGAGGAGGGAGAGAAGTATTTAAGAGGCTGTCCATCTCCCCCTCCTCACCGTTCTTCATTCCGCTCCCTCTCTACGTGTCGAACAGCAGGCCAGCACTCCTCCTTTGCTCAGGTAAGGAAGAAAGAGTTGACAAGAATGAATGCAGTTTTTCAGCAACAGGCAAAAAAAAAGAGGTAGTTCTGTGTAGCATGGTGAAATGTGTAGCCGATGAAATACATTTGAGCTGTTTGTGATCTAGAGACAATGATACAAAGTTTGTGGTGCTGTAAACCTAAACAACATCAATATAACTCTTACAGAAAGGGTAAAGCACACAACCTGAACTGTAGATTTCACTACTCCATGTTTCTGTGTGTTTGGTGGTTTCATGTCTATTCCCTGGTCTATACCGGTGTGATGTTAGCCTGTAGAGTTTCTGACCGGTTGTATTTCCTCTGTTCCTGGCCTTTTTCTTATTTTCTGTTTATGTAAATATCTTGCTCAAAGGAGGCAAATCTAAATTTTTCCTAAACAAGAATGACCTCAGATTTCTGTTGGGATAAAGTGAATTTGATAGTGTAAATATAAATGTCATTGTAGGGAAAGAAGTAGATTGGTCAGGGAAGAGGGGTTGGGGAGGGATGGTGGAGAGGTTGAGGGGTAGGATGGACTGATGGAGGGGTTGAGGGGTAGGATGGACAGATAGAGGGGTGGGGGAGGGAAGGTGGATAGAGGGGTGGATGGAGATATAGTGGGGTGGGATAGAGAGATGGAGGGGTGGGATGGAGAGTGAGGGTGAAGGGTGGGATGGAAAGATTGAGGGGTGGAGGCAGGGTGGAGGCAGGGTGGTGGGATACATACACCTGTCTCCTCTGTTACCAACCATCCAGTTCAGCTCAGGTAGAGAGCAGCTCAGGTTCCCATGGTCCCAGTTCCTCCTGTACTGGTTTGGACAGGACAGGACAGGGCTATAGGGTTAGAGACAGGGTTAGGTTAGAGCTGGGTGTGCTTCTACCTGGTGTGACTTTCACTCTTATCAGAAGGCTGGGGTTCCCATATCCTGCTCACTATTACCTCTCTCCTTTCCATCACAGTGTCTCAATGTGGCTCACCACAGATCCAGGATAAATGTATCCTTAAGTGGGGAAACTAATCATCAATCATCATCATAATCCATGGCTAACTGTCTGTGGCTTTAGTAATGCAGTAGGGCTCTTGGGGTTTGTAGTTCTTCAGATGTCGGGTAGGATGACTTTATACTTGTGACTAATTCAGGAACTAGACAGGGTTGAGGACCCAACAACTCCCACTCTCTACCTTACCTCTCTCTCTCTCTCTATTCATCCATCCATCCTTCTCTTGTCCTATCTGTCCTGCCGTGCTCAGCAGACAGGGTTATTGCTAACTCAGTTGATACTGTATGTCTCTTTATCAGTGGAGGCTGCTGAGGGAAGAACGGCTCATAATAATGTCCGGAATGGAATGGTATCAAACACGTGTTTTTTTGGGAGTGTTTGATATCACTCCATTCCAGCCATTATTATGAGCCGTCCTCCCCTCAGCAGCCTCCACTGCTCTCTACAGTGTGTATGACTGATCCAACTGATCCTGGCTCAGCTTCCATGAGAAAATACACACTCACCCTGCACAGCCTACATCACTTGATGTCGTACTACAGTGTGAAACACTTACTCATTATTATCCTAACCATGTCTATTGTCTCTCTACCTCTGTAGTATGTCTAAGCCCGCCAACACGGAGAATGTGTCCACCTTGGAGACCGCCATGCAGTTGATGATCCAGACCTTCCATAAGTACTCTGGGGACGAAGGCGACAAATACACCCTGAGCAGAGCAGAGCTCAAAGTGATGCTCACTGCAGAGCTGGGCAACTACCTGGGGGTAAGGAGATTCACACACTACACACACAGACACACACACACACACAGAGACACACACCGTAAAAGTCTTCCTCTCTCCCTCATGCAGAATGCCCAGGACAAGGAAGCAGTGGACAAGGTGATGGGTGACCTGGATGCCAACAACGACGGAGAGGTGGACTTCACTGAGTTTGTTATCTTGGTGGGGGCGCTCACCGTCGCCTGCAACGACTTCTTCCTAGAGTACAACGACAAGGGGGAGAAGAAGTGAACACAACGCACACATGTACACTCACACACACCTACGTCTCTCTCTCTCACACACACACACACACTGAGGAAGAGGAGGAGAGGACGGTGATTATGACGATGATGCGACACCTCCACTCCAATCCTGCCTAGGCTTCATTCCTACTGTTTAACAGAGAACTACACACACCACACACACACACTCAGAGATGTTCAGAGATGCGTCGTGGCACACTGGGCGGTGAGTTTTTGTGTTTTGTGTGTGTGCCATCTCAATCCAAACCAAACCCAACCCACAGAGAAGTTTATTACAGAGTGAAAATGTGGAGAGTTTAAGTCATCAATAACGGTCATTGTTGAATATGTGAATATAATTTCTCTGTCTTTTCATTCGTTTTGTAAACCCCTTATTTATGTTTCGTTCATTGTTAAACTGTTCCTCCTCGATAGAATAAACATAACATTTAACCAAAGCTTGTCGTAGAGTATTGTTGTGGTTTCTGGATACTTTGTGTGTATGTTTGGGATATTGACCTGTTGAGTTATTCCTCATGTTACCCAGTCTCGCTGATGGGTGACAGGAGTAGTAACACAGTCTGGCCACCAGATGGAAGCAGAGTGAGACACACCAGGGATGGACTTTTGTGTCTGTGCTGCACTTCCATTAACTAAGGTCATTCTGAAGGGTTTACCTGAATAGCCTGATAGTTTACATTACCACTGATATCAACAGTACCTGGATGGCCTGACAGTGACAGATCAGTTACATCCATACCTTGTGAAGCTTCACAATGAGCTCTATAATCTGTCCAACAACAGATTTCAGAACTGTGTTCCACACTGACCGATCTTAGACTGTCCTCTCATTTTTAAGATGTTCTGAATATTAAACCTTCAGAATTAGCAGAACAGACAGAATCCCTCAGGCAACAGATCTCCTGGATGGTGGTAGTCTACACCAAACATGGCATATTTCCTTTGTCGATGAACACTGATGTGGTACAGAATTGAAATGTGATAGGAATGCATTAATCAAACATTCCAAATGGTACTACAACACATATGCCAGCACACCGTCCTGTAAATTTGCACCTACAACTGGCAATAGGAACTTGAAATGACCTTGAAACAGGCCTGTTAGCACAGTGATTGTTTGTTTTACTGTAAAGCTACAGCTCTTTGAATCAGGTTACTGGCCAGGTTTTGTTTTACTGTAAAGCTACGGCTCTTTGGATCAGGTTACTGGCCACAGTGTTTGTTTTACTGTAAAGCTACAGCTCTTTGGATCAGGTTACTGGCCACAGTGTTTGTTTTACTGTAAAGCTACAGCTCTTTGGATCAGGTTACTGGCCACAGTGTTTGTTTTACTGTAAAGCTACAGCTCTTTGAATCAAGTTACTGGCCACAGTGTTTGTTTTACTGTAAAGCTACAGCTCTTTGGATCAGGTTACTGGCCACAGTGTTTGTTTTACTGTAAAGCTACAGCTCTTTGGATCAGGTTACTGGCCACAGTGTTTGTTTTACTGTAAAGCTACAGCTCTTTGAATCAAGTTACTGGCCACAGTGTTTGTTTTACTGTAAAGCTACGGCTCTTTGGATCAGGTTACTGGCCACAGTGTTTGTTTTACTGTAAAGCTACGGCTCTTTGGATCAGGTTACTGGCCACAGTGCTTGTTTTATTGTAAAGCTACGGCTCTTTGAATCAAGTTACTGGCCACAGTGTTTGTTTTACTGTAAAGCTACGGCTCTTTGGATCAGGTTACTGGCCACAGTGTTTGTTTTACTGTAAAGCTACAGCTCTTTGGATTAGGTTACTGGCCACAGTGTTTGTTTTACTGTAAAGCTACAGCTCTTTGGATCAGGTTACTGGCCACAGTGTTTGTTTTACTGTAAAGCTACGGCTCTTTGGATCAGGTTACTGGCCACAGTGTTTGTTTTACTGTAAAGCTACGGCTCTTTGGATCAGGTTACTGGCCACAGTGTTTGTTTTACTGTAAACCTACGGCTCTTTGGATCAGGTTACTGGCCACAGTGTTTGTTTTACTGTAAAGCTACGGCTCTTTGGATCAGGTTACTGGCCACAGTGTTTGTTTTACTGTAAAGCTACGGCTCTTTGGATCAGGTTACTGGCCACAGTGTTTGCGTAGGGGGAAGTTCAGCAGCATTAATATTAGAAAGTCAGGAAATGTTGTTTTCTTTCCTGTTTTTTATGTGAACCCAGGGTAATTCCAGTACCGTTCCAAATGTGTGTGTGTGTGTGTGTGTCAGAAGAACATACAACAGAAACAGAATGTTGAACTGAACCTACAACCTTTATTGGACTGTTTATGGTGTGCACAGGAACAAAGCTGTGAGGGGTTATGGGAGGACAACACTCTCCTCTGAGTGGAGAGCAGAGAAACAGACAGAGACACAGAGAGAGGGACAGAGGAGGGAGAGACAAGAAGAATGGACAGAGGAGAGAGAGAACGAGGGAATGATGGGGAGAGAAGGAAGAAAAGAGAGGGGTGGAGAAACAGGGAGGAGGGAGGGGATGGACAGCACTCTGTTTGTGTCACAGCTCTACAGCCAGGGCCTGGAGGAAAAGAGAGGACACCACTCCACTCCACAGGATTTCACAGCTCTCTGATAGGCTTTTCACACTCCTGGGCCTCTCCTGGGGATGTCCTGGGGTTCCCCTGGGGATGTCCTGGGGTTCTCCTGGGCCTCTCCTGGGGATGTCCTGGGGTTCTCCTGCGGATGTCCTGGGGTTCTCCTGGGCCTCTCCTGCAGATGTCCTGGGGTTCTCCTGGGGATGTCCTGGGGTTCTCCTGGGCCTCTCCTGCGGATGTCCTGGGGTTCTCCTGGGGATGTCCTGGGCTAACCCACTGTGAAAAGCCTGTGTCCCACAGAGTGACGTAAGGTCATGGAAGGGGATCACTCAGGATGGCAGTTAACACACAGCTAACACTCAGCTGGAGGTATATTGTTCTGGCTGTCCCTCTGTGTGTGTGTTTGTGTGTGTGCGTGCTTGTCCAAATCCCACCCCACCAGGACCTGTTATAGCCAGATTCAGAGGGAGCAGGGACAGAGGGATGGAGAGAGATCGACAGAGGGAACATAACATGAGGAATCTGTGGTTCAGAGATGGACAGAGAAGAGGGGAGGAGATGGAAAAAGTATAGAAAGGGAGGAGGGGGTTGAGAGAGCAGGAGTGGGGGCGGAGGAGAGGAGGGTAGTGCTTCAGTGTGTAGGTGGGCTGGTCATTACCCTAATTACAATCAACGTCTATACTAGAGATGTCCAGAGAGAGCGAGGGGGGATGGAGGGAAGAGGTGAGACAGCGAGGGAAGTAAGCTCTCTTGCACATTCCATCTGATACAGCATTACACACCGTTACACACTGGGCAGTCAGCTACAGAGCACAACACAATCTGAGAGTGGGAGGAGAGGAGGGGGAAGGAGGAGAGGAGAGGAGGGGGAAGGAGGAGAGGAGAGGAGGGGGAAGGAGAAGAGGAGAGGACAGAGAAAGAGTGAGACACTGTCTTACTCTGATAATGTGAATCACAGCGATGACAGAAATTAACATTTGTGCAAACATTCGTAACACACAATAGCTTCTGTTTCATGAGAAAACATCATTATTCCAACAATACATATCATCTGTCAGTTCTATATTCGACCACACAATTTTGTGCAATCATGGCTCAACTGTAAAAGGAGGGAATTTACTCCATATTGGCGCAACCCAGTCTCAGTTTCCCAGGAACGGACTGAATCTAGACTCATCCCCTTGCAACTGTACCCGATGGCACAGGCTGCTATTATCCCAATAGAGCTGTATAGGCAGACATCCTACACCTTTATCTTTCTCTATCTAAGGCTGAATCCCAAATCACCCCCTTCGCCTGGCCCCTCGGCACTCCATTTGCACATTCACGCGCGCCTCCGCCATTTGCACAAGTGTCCCAAAGCTGAGGGAGTGAAAATTATGGAGGGTGTAAGGTCTAGTTAGAACCTCCTATGGCCACTTCAACTTAGCCAGCATGGATGCAGGCTTCAGAGCGAAGTACTATCCCGACACACACTGCAATATATTTGGAGTTTGCCCAATTACATTTTTTAAAATTGAGAGGCGTGCATATTATATTTATATTCAACATGCATTTGTTTATGTCTGATTCAGAGACTTTACACATGTAACGGATTAAATACCTCCCAAATTAAACGTTTAACTGTTTCAATCTTGTAAAGCAACAGGGGTTATTTGTTCATTTGAATTTCATACTTGTTTTATTATTTAAAAAGGAACACAAAAGCATAATTCAAGTCACGAGTGTGTCCCAAAATTGATGGGTTTATTGATCCCCTCGCTACTCTCTGGAAGTCACCCTTGGAGTTTCGTCAGCAACACGTGACAACGGAGGGCCCTCCCAGGGAGTTGGTAGGGGCGAGGGGGTGGTTTGGGATTCACCGTAACTACTCCCTCTCATTCCATCTAACTCCCTGTCACTATCCCTCTCTCTTTCATCCCTCTCCTTCACCATCTGTCGCTTCTACACATATAGTGTTAGTGTCTGTGTCACAGGTAATATCACATTCTTGTTTAAAAACGTAGAGAATCATACAACAAACCACTGCACCATACCTTTCTATCAGGAACAGACACAGAGAAATCACAATAATATTACACTCAAAGCTATACTGTGGTACACTGCTATTCTATGATAAAATATACTGTACTGTACTATCAGTTTGGTTAAACAGAAGCGGCTTGGAAAAACAATTATGAACCTTGACACCCCCCACCGCCTTTCCATTTATCTGATTGGTTGACACAATCGCCAATCAAGGTTCTGTTACTGAAGCATTAAGTTCTGTACCAGTTGGAGGTGGGACGATAAACTCTCAGTAAGCTTTCACAGTCAGCTTGGAATGAAGAGCATTGATTGGCTGGCGTAGCGTTCTACAGGAAGTCAACCACTATAGAGAGTGTCCTCTCTCCCTGATTGGCTTCTGCCGCTTACCACTCAGAGGGAGAGAGGAGAGGGATATCTCCACCTTCCTCTGGGAAAAAAGGAAGATATGTCCATCCATTTATCCCTCCTCTGAAAAAAATAACGTATTTAATACTGTTGGTGTTTAGTTTAGTTATTCAGTTCAGAACAGTTCAGTAGAAAGGCCATAAAGGTTAACAGGTGTGGCTGCTGTCCACAGACTTAATAAAACCCAGGTCCCTCCCTCCTGCCCCTGTCCTGCTGTGCTGATTGGATGGGGGTGGTGTCCATCGAGGCTGCGGGGCACCTGGTTGGTCAGCCGTTGGTGTTGGTGATGGTCTTGGCAGTGTAGTTCTGGAACAGTGGCTGCAGGAACATCCCGACCGTTCCGGACACACACACGATTATAAAGATCCACAGGAACAGACGGTCAATCACCATCGCAACATACTTCCAGTCCTCGCTCACCTGAAGAGGGGGTAGGCAGAGGTTTCTATACGTAGAATGGTTTCAGGAAGTATTCACACCCTTTGACTTTTTCCACATTTTGTTGTGTTACAAGGTGGGATTCAAATGGATTTAATTGTCATTTTGTTGTCAACGATCAACACAAAATACTCTGTAATGTCACAGTAAAAAATAAGTAATAATAATAATTGTATTTATGGAAAATAAAACACTAATATACAGTATCTTGATTAGATAAGTATTCACACCCCTGAGTCAATACATGTTAAAATCACATTTGTCTGTGATTACAGCTGTGAGTCTTTCTGGGTAAGTCTCTAAGGGCTTTGCACACCTGGATTGTACAATATCTGCCCATTATTCTTTTAAAAATTCTTCAAGCTCTGTCAAGTTGGTTGTTGGTCATTGCTAGACAGCCATTTTCAAGTCTTGCCATATATTTTCAAGTCAATTTAAGTCAAAACTGTAACTAGGCCACTCAGGAACATTCAATGTTGTGTTAGGTAAGCAACTCCAGTGTATATTTGGCCTTGTGTTTTAGGTTATTGTCCTGCTGAAAGGTGAATTTGTCTCCCAGTGTCTGCTGAAAAGCAGACTGAACCAGGTTTTCCTCTAGGATTTTGCCGTGCTTAGCTCTATTCCATTTATTTTTATCCTAAAAAACTCCCTAGTCCTTGCCGATGACAAGCATACCCATAACATGATGCAGCCACCACCATGCTTGAAAATATGAAGAGTGATACTCATTAATGTGTTGTGTCAGATTAGCCCCAAACATAACGCTTTGTATTCATGCCGCATTTTTTGCAGTATTACTTTGGTGCCTTGTTGCAAACAAGATGCATGTTTTGAAATATTTTAATTTTGTACAGGCTTCCTTCTTTTCACTCTGTCATCTAAGTTAGTATTGTGAAGAAACTACAATATTTTTTATCCATCCTAATTTTTCTCATATCACAGCCATTAAACTCTGTAACTGTATTAAAGTCACCATTGGGTTCATGGTGAAATCCCTGAGAGGTTTCCTTGCTCTCTGGCAACTGAGTTAGGAAGGACGCCTGTATCTTTGTAGTGACTGGGCGTATTGATACACCATCCAAAGTGTAATTAATAACTTTACATGCTCAAAAGGATATTCAATGTCTGCTTTTTTTATTTTTATTAGTCAAGTGGTGAATACTTTCTGAAGGCACTGTAGACGATGAAGGGATACACAGCACTCTTTTCTTTTCTTCTCTTCCTCCATCACCTCTCTCTCTCTCTCTCTCTCTCTCTCTCTCTCTCTCTCTCTCTCTCTCTCTCTCTCTCTCTCTCTCTCTCTCTCTCTCTCTCCTTCCCTCCCCCTCACCAATTAAGGGGGGGGGTGAGAGGAAGAGTTGAAAGGTTAATGTGAGTAGAGACTGGATTCCACCACAGAGCTCTGATGAGGTCTGACACTGAAAGAGGGGGAGGAGAGGGGAGAGAGAAAGAGAGACCGGGTGTAGGGGAATAAGAGATGGATGAGTACTGCAGGGAAGGGGAGGGAGGACCTGGATGATGACTTGAAGAGGGCAGGAGGGAGGACATGGAGTGAAAGAAGGATGAGGTGGGTCTTAAAAGCGGTCGGCATGGAGACGGGCGGTAACCATGGAGATGATGAGTGGCGCTGATGGACAGAATTACGAGGACTGTTAATTCACTATGTCAGGGTCTCTCATTCCAGGAGAATGTTCCTCCCTCCCTCTCCCTGCCCACCGAAGGAAAAATCCCCCCCTCCGTCATTCATCCTCCTCTCTTTCTACTCCTCTACTCCTACGTAGGGTGAGCCCTGTTTTATTCACTCACAATGCTGATGTCATACAGTAGCTAAGAATAAAACTGTATGTTGAATATTCAGAGCAGAACAAGTGTAGCCCATGAATTCATAACCATTCACCCATAGTCATTCTCCCTAGATTGTAGCAGTAGGTGGTAGCTATTTATAGGTTGCACCCCCGTCACTCGGTCGTGTCATGCCGCTGTTATGAACGTTCTCAAGCCGCCCTCTACCATTGTGGTGCCCAAAAATCGTGATAAGCCCAGTCATTCTGAACGGAGGCTAATGACTGTTTCATCTAAATTACACTATAGTGGCCTGGAAATACGATTAGATTGCTAAAGTGGGCAAATATTTAGTAGGACACAACTTTGCCATCATTATCATGTCGTCATATTTCCTTTAAACAGATGTTGTCATTAGCTAGCAAGGTTTGTCAAAAATAGCTAGCAATGCTAACGTTAGCTAGTTCAAATCCGCGGGTCTCCCCTCAATCTTAGCAAGCTAGCTAACATTATACTGCAGTCAATCTGGCGACATCAACATGATGTCAAAATGTCTTCCTACTAATTATTTGCTACCTTTTGAAATGTCATTGTATTTCCAGGCCACTGTAATGCACTTTAGATTAAATCAGTGTGTTCAAAACAATATTGTCACGAAACGTGCAACCCATGAATAGAAACAGGCCTATCTGCTGTGAATAAGTGTAGATATATGGCCTTCTAGACCTAGTGTGAGTAACATTATATGATGTGTATGGCAAAACAGGGTCAATAGATCAGATCTATAATGTGATATATAGTGGTAGTGAATGGTGAATAAAGGGTGTATTTCTATGTTACTCACGCTCTGGTCGTCATCTTCACTCTTCATGTGGTTGGCGATGAAGCGGACCCCGTCGACAGCCTCCTCGAACCCAGGGCAGGCCTGTCCTAGCACGGCCTGGGTCAGGGCTGGGCCCCCTCCTCCCTGATTCCCCCGAGGCCGGTTCCCCTGCCCCCCCTCCCTGCCCTCCCTCAGCCCATTCAGCCCCTCCATCGACCCCCCTCCCCCTGCGCCCCCTCCCAGCTCCCCTACAAACTGTTTCACGGACGCCCGGTTCACATAGCACGTACAGGGGTCGTTGTTATCCGTGCCACCCCCTTCGCCCCCCAGCCCCAGGCCCACCATCAGCCCCCCGGCGGAGCCCCCATCTCTGCCCCTCTCCCTCTGCTCCTGGCCCCTCCGTTGCTGCCGCAGCTTCTGGCGCTCGCAGCTGTTCCGGGGCTGGCGCATGAAGAGCAGCGCAGGCAGTTTGTTGAGGAACACCAGCTTGACCCAGGGGGGCATGGTGTGTGTGGTAGGGGAGCGGTGGTGCACGTTGAGAACACACACACTGGTGACAATAGAGAAAGTCACCAGGACCATGGTGAACATCAGGTACTTCCCGACCAGAGGAACGTCCAGGGAGGTGGGAGGGACGATCTTAGAGATCAGCAGGAGGAACACAGTGAGGGCCAGCAGGACAGAGATACACAGAGTCATCTTCTCTCCACAGTCAGAGGGCAGATAGAACACTAAGATAGCCAGAGAGGTGATGAGGACACAGGGGATGATGAGGTTGATGGTGTAGAACAGAGGTTTCCTGCGGATGATGAAGTCATAGGTAATGTCTACGTAGGTGGGGTCGGCAGGGTTCTCGTTGCGACGCCCCGGCAGGGCGATGATGTCCCACTCTCCGCTGGGCGTGAAGTCATCCATGCTGGCCACGTCGGACCTCAGGATCAGGTCGATCTCTGTGCGGTCGTAGGTCCAGGAGCGGAACCTCATGGTGCAGTTCTGCTGGTCGAAGGGGAAGTGTTTGACCTCGATCTTACAGGCTGACTTGTAGATGGCTGGAGGCAGCCAGAAGATACTGCCGTCATGGGAGACCACCGCGTTAGAGTAGAAGGACACCTCGTACATACCATCAGCACTAAGGAAGGAGGGATGGAGAGAGAGACAACATTACACCATTGGAAGGATTTTACATATTAAAATACAGTATATAAAATGCATGCCCTTTTAAATCTATCACATCTTTGAAAACAAATTAGTAATAAATACAGATTAAAATTAGCAGAAAAAGAGCGAGACACCGTTTTTCTCCTGTAAATGGGGGTAAATGTAACTTCAGCTCTCTGTGTGTCTCATTAGATTTCCTCCAGTCTCACTACAGATCCTTTATCACACACACAGCTTCAGCCACACATCTCACACAGACAGGACTGGGGGACAGGGGCAGGACTGGGGGACAGGGGCAGGACTGGGTGACAGGGGCAGGACAGGTAAGACTACTGTTACAGACAGCCGGGTAAGATGACCACAGAAGATATCACACACACACACACACACACACACACACACACACACACACACACACACACACACATTCTGACTACAGAGAGATGGAGAAGGTCAGACAGATGAGGGTGTGATGCGTATCAGGACTATAAGGTAACACATGCCTCCTTATATAAACATGCTGGTCACTGCTCAGGTGAACATCATCCTTCCTTAACCTGGACACAGCTAGGACAACTCAAGAGAACTCAGGTTGAGAACAGGTGAAATAACTCAGGTAGAGAACAGGTCAAATAACTCAGGTAGAGAACAGGTCAAATAACTCAGGTAGAGAACAGGTGAAATAACTCAGGTAGAGAACAGGTGAAATAACTCAGGTAGAGAACAGGTGAAATAACTCAGGTAGAGAACAGGTGAAATAACTCAGGTAGAGAACAGGTGAAATAACTCAGGTAGAGAACAGGTGAAATAACTCAGGTAGAGAACAGGTGAAATAACTCAGGTAGAGAACGGGTGAAATAACTCAGGTAGAGAACAGGTCAAATAACTCAGGTAGAGAACAGGTCAAATAACTCAGGTAGAGAACAGGTCAAATAACTCAGGTAGAGAACAGGTCAAATAACTCAGGTAGAGAACAGGTCAAATAACTCAGGTAGAGAACAGGTCAAATAACTCAGGTAGAGAACAGGTCAAATAACTCAGGTAGAGAACAGGTCAAATAACTCAGGTAGAGAACAGGTCAAATAACTCAGATAGAGAACACAGAAAAGGAGCACAGGAGGAAGATCAAGATACTGACTCCCTTCGTAAGAATTTAAATCAATGGAACCCATTAGTTTGTGACTGACAGTGTTAATGTGTTGGGAGTGAGTGTGGTTGAGGGGGTAAGTAGACCCGTTTAGCCCCAGCCGGTTGGTTAATCAGTGTAAGATGGCATTAGAGAAAGAGGAGATCGAGGCCAGACAGATCACTTTCACTGATAAGATAGCTTACACAGGGTTAAGACACAACGATAAGATAGGGTACTAGAGGACTGGAGTTCAGAAACACTGCTGTACTGTACTATGTGTGTGTGTGTATGTGTGTGTGTGTGTGTGTGTGTGTGTGTGTGTGTGTGTGTGTGTGTGTGTGTGTGTATGTGTGTGTGTGTGTGTGTGTGTGTGTGTGTGTGTGTGTATATACAGTGGGGGAAAAAAAGTATTTAGTCAGCCACCAATTGTGCAAGTTCTCCCACTTAAAAAGATGAGAGAGGCCTGTAATTTTCATCATAGGTACACGTCAACTATGACAGACAAAATGAGAAAAAAAAATCCAGAAAATCACATTGTAGGATTTTTAATGAATTTATTTGCAAATTATGGTGGAAAATAAGTATTTGGTCAATAACAAAAGTTTCTCAATACTTTGTTATACACCCTTTGTTGGCAATGACACAGGTCAAACGTTTTCTGTAAGTCTTCACAAGGTTTAACACACACTGTTGCTGGTATTTTGGCCCATTCCTCCATGCAGATCTCCTCTAGAACAGTGATGTTTTGGGGCTGTCGCTTTCAACTCCCTCCAAAGATGTTCTATGGGGTTGAGATCTGGAGACTGGCTAGGCCACTCCAGGACCTTGAAATGCTTCTTACGAAGCCACTCCTTCGTTGCCCGGGCGGTGTGTTTGGGATCATTGTCATGCTGAAAGACCCAGCCACGTTTCATCTTCAATGCCCTTGCTGATGGAAGGAGGTTTTCACTCAAAATCTCACGATACATGGCCCCATTCATTCTTTCCTTTACACAGATCAGTCGTCCTGGTCCCTTTGCAGAAAAACAGCCCCAAAGCATGATGTTTCCACCCCCATGCTTCACAGTAGGTATGGTGTTCTTTGGATGCAACTCAGCATTCTTTGTCCTCCAAACACGACGAGTTGAGTTTTTACCAAAAAGTTCTATTTTGGTTTCATCTGACCATATGACATTCTCCCAATCCTCTTCTGGATCATCCAAATGCACTCTAGCAAACTTCAGACGGGCCTGGACATGTACTGGCTTAAGCAGGGGGACACGTCTGGCACTGCAGGATTTGAGTCCCTGGCGGCGTAGTGTGTTACTGATGGTAGGCTTTGTTACTTTGGTCCCAGCTCTCTGCAGGTCATTCACTAGGTCCCTCCGTGTGGTTCTGGGATTTTTGCTCACCGTTCTTGTGATCATTTTGACCCCACGGGGTGAGATCTTGCGTGGAGCCCCAGATCGAGGGAGATTATCAGTGGTCTTGTATGTCTTCCATTTCCTAATAATTGCTCCCACAGTTGATTTCTTCAAACCAAGCTGCTTACCTATTGCAGATTCAGTCTTCCCAGCCTGGTGCAGGTCTACAATTTTGTTTCTTGTGTCCTTAGACAGCTCTTTGGTCTTGGCCATAGTGGAGTTTGGAGTGTGACTGATTGAGGTTGTGGACAGGTGTCTTTTATACTGATAACAAGTTCAAACAGGTGCCATTATTACAGGTAACGAGTGGAGGACAGAGGAGCCTCTTAAAGAAGAAGTTACAGGTCTGTGAGAGCCAGAAAAGCTTGTTTGTAGGTGACCAAATACTTATTTTCCACCATCATTTGCAAATAAATTCATAAAAAATCCTACAATGTGATTTTCTGGAAAAAAAATTGTCAATTTGTCTGTCATAGTTGACGTGTACCTATGATGAAAGTTACAGGCCTCTCTCATCTTATTAAGTGGGAGAACTTGCACAATTGGTGGCTGACTAAATACTTTTTCCCCCACTGTATACAGTGGGGAGAACAAGTATTTGATACACTGCCGATTTTGCAGGTTTTCCTACTTACAAAGCATGTAGAGGTCTGTAATTTTTATCATAGGTACACGTCAACTGTGAGAGATGGAATCTAAAACAAAAATCCAGAAAATCACATTGTATGATTTTTAAGTAATTCATTTGCATTTTATTGCATGACATAAGTATTTGATACATCAGAAAAGCAGAACTTAATATTTGGTACAGAAACCTTTGTTTGCAATTACAGAGATCATACGTTTCCTGTAGGTCTTGACCAGGTTTGCACACACTGCAGCAGGGATTTTGGCCCACTCCTCCATACAGACCTTCTCCAGATCCTTCAGGTTTCGGGCTGTCGCTGGGCAATATGGACTTTCAGCTCCCTCCAAAGATTTTCTATTGGGTTCAGGTCTGGAGACTGGCTAGGCCACTCCAGGACCTTGAGATGTTTCTTACGGAGCCACTCCTTAGTTGCCCTGGCTGTGTGTTTCGGGTCGTTGTCATGCTGGAAGACCCAGCCACGACCCATCTTCAATGCTCTTACTGAGGGAAGGAGGTTGTTGGCCAAGATCTCGCGATACATGGCCCCATCCATCCTCCCCTCAATACGGTGCAGTCGTCCTGTCCCCTTTGCAGAAAAGCATCCCCAAAGAATGATGTTTCCACCTCCATGCTTCACAGTTGGGATGGTGTTCTTGGGGTTGTACTCATCCTTCTTCTTCCTCCAAACACGGCGAGTGGAGTTTAGACCAAAAAGCTCTATTTTTGTCTCATCAGACCACATTACCTTCTCCCATTCCTCCTCTGGATCATCCAGATGGTCATTGGCAAACTTCAGACGGGCCTGGACATGCGCTGGCTTGAGCAGGGGGACCTTGCGTGCGCTGCAGGATTTTAATCCATGACAGCGTAGTGTGTTACTAATGGTTTTCTTTGAGACTGTCACGGTTTCGGCCGAGGCTGCTCCTCTTCCTTGTTCGGGCAGGCTTCGGCGGTCGTCGTCTCCGGAGTACTAGCTGCCACCGTTCTATGTTTCATGTTCATTTGGTTTTGTCTGTTCATAACACCTGTCCCTTATTTGTGTCTTAATTGTTCCCTTATTTAGTTTGTGTGTTTGGGTCAGGTGTTATGCGTGATTGTCTTGTTGTCAGCTGTTGCTCGATATATTTGAGTCTCTCGTATGTGTTACGAGAGTTCGCACTGCGTGCGCTTTTTCTTGTTTTTCTCCGCACAGTGTTTCGTGCGTAATCTGTTTGCGCCACCCGGTTGGGTTGACGTTTATTTGTCGTGTCAGATTTGACTAAAGTTCTGTTAAAGTCCTCCTGGTTTCCTGCGCTTGATTCCTTCCTCATCTACACACACCACTCTGACAGAATCACGCATCAACCCATGGAATCAGCAGGAGCGACCGCGCCAACAGCCGAGATGGCTGAACGTCTTCGTGGTCAGGAGGACCGCATCAACCAGGTCTGTCATGCCCTGGAGGGGGTGATGAATACTCTGCACCGATGGGAGACCAGCGGGGTTCCCACACCTCTACCAACCGAACCAGCCCCATCGGTCAGCCCCCCTGTCTCATCTCCGGAACCTAGTGGGATTCGGCTCTCGCTCCCGAGGGCGTACGACGGCTCCACTGCCGGGTGTCAAGGGTTCCTGCTGCAGGTGGAGCTCTACCTCGCCACCGTACACCCGGCGCCCTCGGGACACGAGAGCGTCTCAGCCCTCATCTCCTGTCTCACCGGCAAGGCGTTGGAGTGGGCCAACGCCGAGTGGAGGAGAATGGACGCCGCGACCACGAACTATGCGGAGTTCTCCCGCCGCTTCCGTGCTGTGTTCGACCATCCACCGGAAGGGAAGGCGGCGGGGGAACGTCTATTCTACCTCCGACAGGGGATGAGGAGCGCCCAGGACTTTGCCTTAGAGTTTCGGACCCTAGCGGCTGATGCAGGGTGGAATGAGCGGGCCCATATCGACCATTTCCGCTGCAGCCTCCGGGAGGACGTCCAGCGAGAGTTGGCGTGCAGGGACACGTCGTTGACGTTCGACCAGCTGGTCGACATGGCCATCCGGCTGGATACCCTGCTCGCCACCCGTGGGCGTCCCGGAGGGGGGGGTTTGCCCATTCCACTCTCCAGCACCTCCGAGCCGAGCCCTATGGAGCTCGGAGGTGCTGGCGCTAGGGAACGGAGGAGGAGGAGCCCGAGGGGACCCGGCCCTTGCACCAACTGTGGTCGTGGAGGGCACACCGCGGCTAGGTGTTGGGGCGGGTCCTCCAGTGAGGGAGATGGCAGGTCACGCATTGGGGGGTCCCCCCAGGTGAGTAGGCGCCCTGCTTACCCAGAGCTTTCTGTCGTGCACCTAACCTTGCCTGTTTGTTTCCCACAGGTTGCACCTCGTTCCCAGCATAAGGCGCTGGTAGATTCAGGCGCAGCTGGGAATTTTGTAGATCGCCAGTTCTGTATAGAGTTAGGGATTCCCCTCCTTCCAGTGGATAAGCCTTTCCCCGTCCATGCCCTAGATAGCCGTCCGTTAGGGTCTGGGTTGATTAGGGAAGTCACAGCACCCATTCAGATGACGGCGCAGGAGGGTCATGAGGAGAGAATTCAGCTCTATCTGATTGACTCTCCTGCGTATCCGGTAGTGCTGGGTCTTCCCTGGTTGATGACTCATGACCCTATTATTAGGTGGCGAGAGAAAGCTCTTAAAGGGTGGTCTGCTCAATGTGAGGGGCGGTGTCTGGGTGTTTCCATAGGGGCGACCTCGGTGGAGAGTCCGAATCTAATGCCAGCACTGCAGATTCCCCCCGAGTATGAGGATTTGGCACTGGCGTTCAGTAAGACTAGGGCGGCGCAGCTGCCGCCTCATAGACGGGGGGATTGTGCGATAGATCTCCAGTCAGGAGCAGCTCTCCCGCGGAGCCATGTGTATCCCTTGTCTCAAGAGGAGAGAAAGGCTATGGAGACATACATCTCTGAGTCTCTTAGGCAGGGATACATACGGGCCTCCGTTTCACCCGCTTCCTCAAGTTTCTTTTTTGTGAAGAAAAAGGATGGAGGTCTGCGCCCGTGTATTGATTACCGCGGTCTCAATCAGATCACAGTGAAGTACAGCTATCCACTTCCTCTGATTGCGACTATGACGGAGTCACTGCACGGTGCGCAGTTCTTTACAAAATTGGATCTTAGGAGCGCATATAACTTGGTGCGCATTCGAGAGGGCGATGAATGGAAGACAGCGTTTAGCACGACTTCCGGACACTACGAGTATCTAGTCATGCCATATGGGTTGATGAATGCTCCCTCAGTCTTCCAATCCTTCGTCGATGAGATTTTCCGGGACATGCAGGGACAGGGAGTAGTTGTGTACATCGACGACATTCTGGTGTATAGTCCTACCCGTGCTGAGCATGTAGCCCTGGTGCGCCGAGTATTGAGGAGGCTGTTGGAGCATGACCTATATGTCAAGGCAGAGAAATGTCTGTTTTTTCCAGAAGTCGGTCTCCTTTCTGGGTTACCAGTTATCTGCGTCAGGGGTGAAGATGGAGGTAGACCGGGTGACAGCTGTGCGTAATTGGCAGATCCCAACCACTGTGAAGGAGGTGCAACGGTTCTTGGGTTTTGCGAATTATTACCGGAGGTTTATCCGGGGTTTTGGACAGGTGGCAGCTCCCATAACGTCTCTGTTAAAGGGGGGTCCGGTGCGCTTGCGGTGGTCAGCTGAGGCGGACAGGGCATTTGGGAGACTAAAGGACCTGTTTACCTCGGCGCCGGTGTTGGCGCATCCGGATCCCTCTTTACCGTTCCAAGTAGAGGTGGACGCGTCAGAGGCCGGGATAGGGGCCGTTCTTTCCCAGCGTTCTGGCACTCCACCTAAACTCCGTCCCTGTGCGTTCTACTCTAAGAAGCTCAGTCCGGCGGAGCGGAATTATGACGTAGGAGACAGGGAGCTGTTAGCCGTGGTACAGGCCCTAAAGGTGTGGCGGCATTGGCTCGAGGGGGCTCAACACCCTTTCCTCATTCTAACTGACCATCGTAACCTGGAGTACATCCGGGCAGCTAGGAGACTGAATCCTCGCCAGGCTCGCTGGACTATGTTCCTAGCCCGGTTTGTGTTTAAGATCACATACATCCCTGGGTCCCAGAACGGGAAGGCAGATGCGCTGTCTCGGCGGTATGACGCAGAGGAGAGGTCAGTTGAGTCCACGCCCATACTACCGGAGTCTTGTCTGGTTGCTCCGGTGGTGTGGGAGGTTGATGGTGAGATCGAGCGGGCGTTACGCACCGACCCGAGTCCTCCACAGTGTCCTGTGGGTCGGACGTACGTTCCGCTCGAGGTACGCGATCGCCTCATTTGTTGGGCTCATACGTCCCCCTCCTCTGGCCATCCGGGTATCGGCCGGACAGTGCACTGCCTTAGCACGAAGTACTGGTGGCCAACGTTAGCTAGGGATGTGAGGATTTATGTCTCCTCCTGTTCGGTGTGTGCCCAGTGTAAGGCGCCCAGACATTTGCCCAGGGGTAAGTTACAACCCCTGCCTATTCCACAACGACCCTGGTCCCACCTCTCGGTGGATTTTGTTACCGACCTTCCCCCCTCACAGGGGAATACTACCATCCTGGTCGTTGTGGATCGGTTCTCTAAGGCCTGTCGTCTCCTTCCCATGCCGGGTCTACCCACTGCCCTACAGACCGCTGAGGCTCTGTTCACCCATGTCTTCCGGCATTACGGGGTACCCGAGGATATAGTGTCTGACCGAGGCCCCCAGTTCACCTCTAGAGTGTGGAGAGCATTTATGGAACGGTTGGGGGTTTCGGTAAGCCTTACCTCGGGGTACCACCCGGAGAGTAATGGGCAGGTTGAACGTGTCAACCAGGATGTGGGTAGGTTTCTGAGGTCATACTGTCAGGGCCGGCCGGAGGAGTGGGCGAGATATGTGCCCTGGGCCGAGATGGCACAGAACTCTCTTCGCCACTCCTCCACCCAACTAACCCCTTTTCAGTGTGTGTTAGGGTACCAGCCGGTTCTGGCACCATGGCATGAGAGCCAGATCGAGGCCCCCGCTGTGGATGAGTGGGTGCGGCGCTCGGAGGAGACGTGGGACGCTGCACACGTCCATCTGCAGCGTGCCATACGTCGACAGAAGACGAGCGCCGACCTACACCGCAGTGAGGGGCCAGTGTACGCACCTGGAGATCGAGTCTGGCTCTCAACCAGAAACCTGCCCCTCCGCCTGCCCTGCCGGAAGCTGGGTCGGCGGTTTGTGGGGCCATTTAAAGTCCTGAGGAGATTGAACGAGGTGAGTTATAGGTTAGAACTACCTGTTGATTACAAAAATATTAACCCCTCGTTCCATGTGTCTCTCCTCAGGCCGGTGGTAGCTGGTCCACTCCAGGACTTTGAGATTGAGGAGACTCCTCCGCCCCCGTTGGACATCGAGGGGGCTCCGGCGTACACCGTGAGGTCCATCCTGGACTCTAGACGCCGGATGGGGGGTCTTCAATATCTCGTGGAGTGGGAGGGGTACGGCCCGGAGGAGCGGTGCTGGGTGCCAAGGAGGGACGTATTAGACCAGTCCCTACTGACCGATTTCCATCGGGGTCATCCTGCGCGCCCTGCTCCGCGTCGTCCGGGTCGTCCCCGAGCTCCGGGTCGGCGCACGGCTGGAGCCGCGCGTCAAGGGGGGGGTACTGTCACGGTTTCGGCCGAGGCTGCTCCTCTTCCTTGTTCGGGCAGGCTTCGGCGGTCGTCGTCTCCGGAGTACTAGCTGCCACCGTTCTATGTTTCATGTTCATTTGGTTTTGTCTGTTCATAACACCTGTCCCTTATTTGTGTCTTAATTGTTCCCTTATTTAGTTTGTGTGTTTGGGTCAGGTGTTATGCGTGATTGTCTTGTTGTCAGCTGTTGCTCGATATATTTGAGTCTCTCGTATGTGTTACGAGAGTTCGCACTGCGTGCGCTTTTTCTTGTTTTTCTCCGCACAGTGTTTCGTGCGTAATCTGTTTGCGCCACCCGGTTGGGTTGACGTTTATTTGTCGTGTCAGATTTGACTAAAGTTCTGTTAAAGTCCTCCTGGTTTCCTGCGCTTGATTCCTTCCTCATCTACACACACCACTCTGACAGAGACTGTGGTCCCAGCTCTCTTCAGGTCATTGACCAGGTCCTGCCGTGTAGTTCTGGGCTGATCCCTCACCTTCCTCATGATCATTGATGCCCCACGAGGTGAGATCTTGCATGGAGCCCCAGACCGAGGGTGATTGACCGTCATCTTGAACTTCTTCCATTTTCTAATAATTGCGCCAACAGTTGTTGCCTTCTCACCAAGCTGCTTGCCTATTGTCCTGTAGCCCATCCCAGCCTTGTGCAGGTCTACAATTTTATCCCTGATGTCCTTACACAGCTCTCTGGTCTTGGCCATTGTGGAGAGGTTGGAGTCTGTTTGATTGAGTGTGTGGACAGGTGTCTTTTATACAGGTAACAAGTTCAAACAGGTGCAGTTAATACAGGTAATGAGTGGAGAACAGGAGGGCTTCTTAAAGAAAAACTAACAGGTCTGTGAGAGCCGGAATTCTTACTGGTTGGTAGGTGATCAAATACTTATGTCATGCAATAAAATGCAAATTAATACAATGTGATTTTCTGGATTTTTGTTTTAGATTCCGTCTCTCACAGTTGAAGTGTACCTATGATAAAAATTACAGACCTCTACATGCTTTGTAAGTAGGAAAACCTGCAAAATCGGCAGTGTATCAAATACTTGTTCTCCCCACTGTATGTGTGTGTGTGTGTGTATGTGGAAGTTGGTTGCTCTTTTGACTCCTACATGGAGCAGACATTTGCTGACAAGTTGCTGAAGCACTAGCCCCTTGTTGGTTATCAGTGCAAACTTGTGGCGCTGATATTTGGGAGTCTGGGCCATGTACAGTACCAGACAAAAGTTTGGACAAACCTACTCATTCAAGGATTTTTCTTTATTTTTAAAAAAAAATTTACATTGTAGAACAATAGCTAAGACATCAAAACTATGAAATAACACATATGGAATCATGTAGTAACCAAACAAGTGTTAAACAAATCAAAATATATTTTATATTTGAGATTCTTCAAATAGCCACCCTTTGCCTTGATGACAGCTTTGCACACTCTTGGCATTCTCTCAACCAGCTTCACCTGGAATGCTTTTCCAACAGTCTTGAAGGAGTTCCCACATATGCTGAGCACTTGTTGGCTGCTTTTCCTTCAGTCTGCCGTCCGACTCATCCCAAACCATCTCAATTGGGTTGAGGTTGGGGGATTGCTGAGGCCAGGTCATCTGATGCAGCATTCCATCACTCTCCTTCTTGGTAAAATAGCCCTTACACAGCCTGGAGGTGTGTTGGTTCATTGTCCTGTTGAAAAACAAATGATAGTCTCACTAAACCCAAACCAGATGGGATGGCGTATCGCTGCAGAATGCTGTGGTAGCCATGCTGGTTAAGTGTGGCTTGAATTCTAAATAAATCACAGACAGTGTCACCAGCAAAGCACCCCCTACACCATAACACCTCCTCCTCCATGCTTTACGGTGGGAACTACACATGCAGAGATCATCCGTTCACCCACACCGCATCTCACAAAGACACGGCGGTTTGAATCAATAATCTCCAATTTGGACTCCAGACCAAAGGACACATTTTCACCGGTCTAATGTCCATTGCTTGTGTTTCTTGGCCCAAGCAGGTCTCCTCTTCTTATTGGTGTCCTTTAGTAGTGGTTTCTTTGCAGCAATTCGACCATGAAGGCCTGATTCACACAGTCCCCTCTGAACAGTTGATGTTGAGATTTGTCTGTTACTCATGAGAGCCAGTTTCATCATAGCGCTTGATTGTTTTTGCGACTGCACTTGAAGAAACTTTCCGTATTGACTGACCATCATGTCTTAAAGTAATGGACTGTCGTTTCTCTTAGTTTATTTGAGCTGTTCTTGCCATAATATGGACTTGGTATTTTACCAAATAGGGCTATCTTCTGTATACCCTCCCTACCTTGTCACAACGAAACTGATTGGCTCAAACACATTAAGAAGGAAATCAATTCCACAAAATAACTTTTAAGAAGGCACACCTGTTAATTGAAATGCATTCCAGGTGACTACATCATGAAGCTGGTTGAGAGAATGCCAAGAGTGTGCAAAGCTGTCATCAAGGCAAAGGGTGGCTATTTGAAGAATCTCAAATATAAAATATATTTTGATTTATTTAACACTTGTTTGGTTACTACATGATTCCATTGTGTTATTTCATAGTTTAGATGTCTTCACTATTATTCTACAATGTAAACATTTGTAAAAAATAAAGAAAAACCCTTGAATGAGTAGGTGTGTCCAAACTGTTGACTGATAGTGTACATAGGCTGACAGTACGTGGCCTCCAGATTGCCGGTCTGCATAGGACAAAGGCAAAGCAGCTAGCTAAGTACTGCTCTGTGTCAGCAGCATGGGCAGCTTAGCTGTTTGGAGAAGAAGGTGCTTTCTGTATCCACAAGTGTCCAGCCCATGTCTTTAAAATGTTTGGATCCTTCTTGACTGTAATGTGATTTGTGGATTAAAATAGTATTTCAATTGTGTGTGTGTAACTCACTTGTTATACAGTACAACGTCGGGCAGCCAGATGTGTTTGGAAGGCAGTCTGACCTTCTCCATGCCATCAAACTCCTCAGGGACCCACGTCAGACGGTAGTCCTGCCACTCCTGGACACCAATCACAGAGCAGAGAAAAGATTTTGTGACCAATCACACAGCTGAGAAGATTGTTAGTAACCAATCATAGAGCAGAGAACAGAGTTAGTGACCAATCACATAGCTGAGAAGTTTGTCAGTAACCAATCACAGAGCAGAAGGAGAGTTAGTGACCAATCAAAAGTCATATAAGAGTGTGAGACCCACAAACAGTTGCTGTGAGCTTCACTTTTGAAATAACGCTCAGCGAAATGCATCTTTACTTTCCATAATGATCTTTATGTAAATATTTTCCCATAGAGACCTTTACTGTCCTGTCAAGGAACAGTGTGATAGCTCAGCTCTATTAATTAGAAATGTAAGACAGAAGCACTAATGTCTACCATGACCCTATAGTAAGTCAGTTAAAAACACTCATAAACACACATCTAATCATCCTGATTGAAATGGCCGCCTGCCAAGGAGGTATCCAGACGGTGTGTGTGACTGCAGTACGTGTGCATGTATGTGTGTCTGGGCATCTGTGTGTGCGAGTTTGCCTCCCAGGCACACATGATTGAAGGTGTGTGAGTGTGGGTCAGTCACTGACATGCTCTTAGTGTGCATTTAGAACCATAATGGCATAGCCTCTATGACCTTGATGGTGGTAGCCCTGTAACTGTGCTGTATTATGAACTATAATGGTGTAGCCTCTATGACATTGATGGTGGTAGCCCTGTAGCTGTGCTGTATTATGAACTATAATGGTGTAGCCTCTATGACATTGATGGTGGTAGCCCTGTAACTGTGCTGTATTATGAACTATAATGGTGTAGCCTCTATGACATTGATGGTGGTAGCCCTGTAGCTGTGCTATATTATGAACCATAATGACGTAGCCTCTATGACATTGATGGTGGTAGCCCTGTAACTGTGCTGTATTATGAACCATAATGGTGTAGCCTCTATGACATTGATGGTAGTAGCCCTGTAACTGTGCTGTATTAAGAGCCATAATGGCCTGGATAGCAGTGACTCTATGGCTGTTAGGGCAGTAGAAAAACCTTAATAGCCATTTACAATGGGGGCTCTGTAACTGTTATTGTTACAGTATATGCCATGTAGAGCCATAATGGCCATGATCTCAGAGGCTATACGACTTGAAAATGGTGGTTCTGTGAAACAGTGATGTGTTGTGGTATTATCCGAGCTAGAATGGTGGTTCTGTAACTGTGATGTCATAGGGCTTTCAGACCCATAATGGTGGTGAAAGTGATAGCAGTGGCTCTCTTGGCTCAGGACTGGTGTCCTTGGCATCTCCTCTTGGCTACGACCAAGGGCCTCATAAAACACTGATGCTCATTCTCTGTTCAACTACAGACCATCAATCACACACACACACACATGCACATACGTACACACAAGCAGACACACACAAACAGGTTTCCAGCTGGTTTGTTCATAACTGATTTATACACATTGGTGCATTTACAGCTGTGTGTGTGTGTGAACCTGTCCAGTGGGCAGTACGTTGTATTGCAGGCCCCAGCTGCAGACACACAGGGAGGGTATAAGAGGGTCAGAGCTCAGGAGCATGGCAGGATTAGTCCCTCACAACAATACCCTTCACAGAACTGTGTCTCTCTCTGCCACATACTGCAATGGGATGCTGGGTAGCAATGTACTGTACTGTACTGCAACACTCCTGGAAAGATCTGGGGGGAACTTTGAAAGAACCTGACTGGGAAACTCTGGTAATGTGTTCATGTTCCCATTGAATGATCAGAATGTCTGAGTTTAGTTGTAGGAGACTGATACAGGGACAGGTATTTTCATCCCCCCACTGGTTCAGATTGGATTGTTTGACCATGCCTATTCCTAACTTAGCGGCAGAATGAACAAATGTGTTCTTGCGCGATGCAATTCACAGAGTTATCAATTAACAGAAAGGAGAGCATCCTTGCATTCATTCTTAAATGTACATTTAATGAAGTCGGGTATTGACATAACAACGCATTTATATACCATGGTACATCATCAAACATTCTTCATTCTTCAGTAATGTATGCACTAACTGTAAGTCGCTCTGGATAAGAGCGTCTGCTAAATGACTTAAATGTAAATGTTAAATGTAAATGTAAATTTAGAAAGGCATGGTAATTATCTTGTCTGTTGTTTGTTGGAATAAGGAGAGGTGAAGACAGAGGGATAAGGAGAGAGAGGTGAAGACAGAGGGATAAGGAGAGAGAGGTGAAGACAGAGGGATAAGGAGAGAGAGGTGAAGACAGAGGGATAAGGAGAGAGTGTAGAGAGAGAAGGGAAGAAGGGTAGGAGAGAGGGTGGAATGAGAGGATTAAGGAGAGTAACAGAGGTAAGAGGATTAGGAGGGAAAGGGGGAATAAGAGAGGTGAAGACAGAGGGGTAAGGAGAGAGAGGTTAAGACAGTAGGCGGTAGGGAGGGAGGTGAATGGGGACAGAGGGGAGGGGTCAGGGAAAGGATGGTTCAAGACAGAGGGATAGGAGAGAGAGTTGAGACAGAGGGTTTAGGAGAGAGAGGTGAAGAAGAGGGGAGGGGTAAGGAAGGAGAGGGTTGAAGACGGGGTAAGGAGGGGGAGCTGAGCAGAGGGATAAGGAGAGAGAGGTGAAGACAGGGGGTAAGGAGAGGTGAAGACAGAGGGAAGAGAGGAGAGAGAGTGAAGAAAGAAGAGGTGGTAAGAGGAAAGAAGGGAAGACAGAGGGATAAGGAGAGGAGGTAGAAGAGGAAATAGGGGAAAGAGGAGAGGAGAGGTGAAGACAGAGGGGTAAGGAGAGAGAGGTGAAAGATAGAGGGGAAGAGAGAGGGTGAAAGAAAGGGGTAAGAGAGAGGGAAAGAGTAGGGGTAAGGAGAGAGAGGAAGACAGAGGGGTAAGAGAGAGAGGTGTAAGATAAGGGGGGTAAGGAGAGAGAGGTGAAGACAGAGGGGTAAGGAGAGAGAGAGGTGAAGAAGAGGGATAAGAGAGGTGAAGACAGAGGGGTAAGGAGAGAAGATGGTTGAAGACAAGGGATAAGGAGAGAGAGGTGAAGACAGAAAGGGAAGAGGTAGAGGTGAAGGAAAGGGGATAAGGAGAGAGAGGTGAGACAGAGGATAAGGAGAGGTGAAGACAGAGGGGTACGAGAGAGAGGTGAAGATAGAGGGGTAAGGAGAGAGAGGTGAAGACAGGGGATAAGGAAAAGAGGTGAAGACAGAGGGGTAAGGAGGGTGAAGACAGAGGGGTACGGAGGAGAGGGGGAAGACAGAGGGATAAGAGAGGGTTTGAAGACAGAGGGGTACGGAAGAGAGGGGAAGAGGGGAAAGGGAGAGGAGAGGTGAAGACAGAGGGTAGGAGGAGAGGTGAAGACAGAGGGGTGGAGGGAGGTGAAGACAGGGGATAAGGAGAGAGAGGGGTGAGACAGGGGGTAGGAGAGAGAGGTGAAGGGGGATAAAGGAGGAGGAGGAGAAGGTGAAGATAGAGGGGTAAGGAGAGGTGAAGACAGAGGGGTACGGAGAGAGAGATGAAGACAGATGGATAAGGAGAGAGAGGTGAAGACAGAGGGGGTAGGAGAGGTGAAGACAGAGGGATAAGGAGAGAGAGAGGTGAAGACAGAGGGTAAGGAGAGAGAGGTGAAGACAGAGGGGGTAAGGAGAGAGAAGTGAAGACAGAGGGATAAAGGAGAGGGTAAGACAGAGGGGGTAAGGAGAGGTGAAGACAGAGGGATAAGGAGAGAGAGGTGAAGACAGAGGGGTAAGGAGAGAGAGGTGAAGACAGAGGGATAAGGCGGAGAGAGGTGAGAGACAGAGGGGTAAGGAGAGAGAGGTGAAGACACGAGGGATAAGGAGAGGAGAGGGTGAAGACAGAGGGGTAAGGAGAGAGAGGTGAAGACAGAGGGATAAGGAGAGAGAGGTGAAGTGATAGAGAGGGGTAAGGAGAGGTGAAGACAGAGGGGTACGGAGAGAGAGGATGAAGACAGAGGGATAAGGAGAGAGAGGTGAAGACAGAGGGGTAAGGAGAGGTGAAGACAGAGGGATAAGGAGAGAGAGGTGAAGACAGAGGGGTAAGGAGAGAGAGGTGAAGACAGAGGGGTAAGGAGAGAGAGGTGAAGACAGAGGGGATAAGGAGAGAGAGGTGAAGACAGAGGGGTAAGGAGAGGTGAAGACAGAGGGATAAGGAGAGAGAGGTGAAGACAGAGGGATAAGGAGAGAGGTGAAGACAGAGGGATAAGGAGAGAGAGGTGAAGACAGAGGGGTAAGGAGAGAGAGGTGAAGACAGAGGGATAAGGAGAGAGAGGTGAAGACAGAGGGGTAAGGAGAGAGAGGTGAAGACAGAGGGATAAGGAGAGAGAGGTGAAGACAGAGGGGTAAGGAGAGAGAGGTGAAGACAGAGGGGTAAGGAGAGAGAGGTGAAGACAGTGTAACTGACCTGTGTGAGCCATACGTTGGTGGTCATGACCTGCTCTCTCTCATGCTGCAATAGAAAGGGGGTGGGGGGGTTATTTTCTAAGGTGGGTGGGTTAGAGACAGAGTATGATTCACCACACACAAACACACCCACACACACACACTCACACACACAGACACGCTCACCACGCTGATGAGCTGGGCCAGTGACACCATCAGCTGAACCGTCACCAGCTCCGAGCCATTGGTCGCTGGGCGGATCAGTTTGTTATAGTGGGCGGGGTTTAACAGGTGCTCCACCAACCGCTCCTCAGTATCTGCCCCCAGGCTGCCTGTAAAGAGAGATATCACTGGTTCACAGACATGTCCATCAAACGCTTTCCATGGTGATAACAACAACAAAATAAACAAGAACAAAGGATATAGCTGAAACTGTCTAATGGGAACATTTCAGCACAAGGCCTTGTGATGAAGCTGTATCTTTAGTCTGCTGGATAACAGTGTGTTCACTATAAAGCTGGGAGTCTATGAGGCATGACAGTATTGCTCTCTGCCTGCTGGAACATGTCAGCACAGCTCTATTCTCTCCCTGGCTCAGGAGCGGACATCATTTCAACCAGTCTTACAGTCTCTCCCTCTATCCCTCTCTCCTGTACTGTCTTTCTCTCCTCCTCCCCATCCACTATCTCATCCTCTCACTTTTCCTCACACTCTTTCTCTTTCCCCTGTCATCAGCCCCCCCCCCCCCCCCCCCCCCTTGTAAGACTGATCAAAATCTCACGAGACTGTAAGACTGATCAAAATCTCACGATACATGGCCCCATTCATTCTTTCCTTTACACGGATCAGTCGTCCTGGTCCCTTTGCAGAAAAACAGCCCCAAAGCATGATGTTTCCACCCCCATGCTTCACAGTAGGTATGGTGTTCTTTGGATGCAACTCAGCATTCTTTGTCCTCCAAACACGACGAGTTGAGTTTTTACCAAAAAGTTCTATTTTGGTTTCATCCGACCATATGACATTCTCCCAATCCTCTTCTGGATCATCCAAATGCACTCTAGCAAACTTCAGACGGGCCTGGACATGTACTGGCTTAAGCAGGGGGACACGTCTGGCACTGCAGGATTTGAGTCCCTGGCGGCGTAGTGTGTTACTGATGGTAGGCTTTGTTACTTTGGTCCCAGCTCTCTGCAGGTCATTCACTAGGTCCCCCCGTGTGGTTCTGGGATTTTTGCTCACCGTTCTTGTGATCATTTTGACCCCACGGGTGAGATCTTGCGTGGAGCTCCAGATCGAGGGAGATTATCAGTGGTCTTGTATGTCTTCCATTTCCTAATAATTGCTCCCACAGTTGATTTCTTCAAACCAAGCTGCTTACCTATTGCAGATTCAGTCTTCCCAGCCTGGTGCAGGTCTACAATTTTGTTTCTGGTGTCCTTTGACAGCTCTTTGGTCTTGGCCATAGTGGAGTTTGGAGTGTGACTGTTTGAGATTGTGGACAGGTGTCTTTTATACTGATAACAAGTTCAAACAGGTGCCATTAATACAGGTAACGAGTGGAGGACAGAGGAGCCTCTTAAAGAAGAAGTTACAGGTCTGTGAGAGCCAGAAATCTTGCTTGTTTGTAGGTGACCAAATACTCATCATCCAAAAACACAGAGAAAGAAGATGAGGCTGACGCTTTTCCAAAGGCTTTACGACTAACAAAAATGCTGTCACCATATATTAATATTTTTTGACCATGTGCCTCTTCTCTTATTAGACCAGTATACGTTTCTGGTGTGAGTTCTGAAGTGTTCCAGAGAGTTCTGGAATGCAGAAACCCAGTAGCTACTTTTTTTCCCCACTGATAGTTTTAGGACCAGTGTTATGGCCTTAGTTATGAGGACTGTTATATCAATATTAATACCAGCATGCTGGAGCCTAGCAGTCCTGCAGCCAGCCTGGCCTGTACTGTCCTGTCTCCTGTCTCCTGATGTCTCCACAGACAGCCTGCTGGGCTGGGGCCTGGGTCTGGCTGTGGAGACACCAGGAGACAGGAGACAGCATAAAAGGTTTCAGCCGCCGCCAAAAAACCTCTCTAGCCAGCCACAGAGAGGAGAAGAGACAGCAACCCCCTACTCCCCCTCTAATCTTACCACTCACCCCTCACCTCCCCCTCCTCTCCTACTGAGCAATAGGGTTTCTAAATAAATATGAATCATCATCAGTACAATACGCCAAACAGGATGATTACATTTAGATGCAGGGTGCTGGCCCAGGCCCTCTCTATCTCGTGTTGTTCCTGTTTCACCCAGTAGAGTGTGTCTTAACCTTCTCACTGTTGGTTTGAGGTGTGTATCAGTGGAGGCTGCTGAGGGGAGGACGTATCATTATAATGGCTGGAACGGAGCAAATAGAATGGCATCAAACACATGGAAACCATGGAAACCATGTGTTTGATGTATTTGATACCATTCCACTTATCCTGCTCCAGTCATTAACATGAGCCCGTCCTCCCAAATTAAGGTGCCACCAACCTCCTGTGGTGTGTATGAATGTGTTTGAATGTTTGTGTGAAATGTATCCAATGTGAGAGTGTATATGTGTGTGTGTGTGTGTGTGTGTGTGTGTGTGTGTGTGTGTGTGTGTGTGTGCATAGCGACGAGTGTAATCAAGGGCATGCAAGGAGTGTGTATGTCTGTAGTGCATGTCTGAGATCAGGAGCTGAGCCCACAGTGCTTTGTTCAGTAGCAATGTGTATTATTCATGTGACACACACACACACACACACACACACACACACACACACACACACACACACACACACACACACACACAGACACAGACAGACACACACAATCCTCAGCCTCAAGCTCTACCCCATCACCCCTAAAAAACAAACATACACTCACAAAGACAAACACAAACACACACAACAAACCGACAAATAGCTACACACAGGCTGACAGCATTGGTATTGATGATAGTGACGGGAACGAGGGAAGAGGCAATAACAGGGTGTCAGAGAGAAAGAGCGATGGAGATAAAAACAGAGAGAGAGGGAGGGAGAGAGGGATGTGGTGAGTTTACGGCTTATGATTAGAGTCTTCATTGATCCAGCCACTGAGGCCGTCATTCCTGCTCACTGAACACAGAACGAGAGAGAGAGAGAGAGAGAGAGAGAGAGAGAGAACGGGGAGAGGGAGCAGGGGAAAGAGGGGAGAGAGAAAGAAAACATGGGGAAATAGATGAAGCTGGAGAGAGTAGGGAAAGAGAGAGAGAACACGTTTGGAATGATAAGAAGTGGTGAGAAACAGATGAGGGATGAGAGAGAGGAAAGGCACACACAGGAGAGAGGGGGAGAAAGAGAGAGGGGAAGGGGAGAGAGAGAGAGTTGTTGTGGTGTCTCCTGCAGCAGTATCTCTCCTCGCTGTGTGGTATTGTGACAGCTCTGCCAAAACCTAGCCACTCCAGAGATATGACAACAGCCTGAGAGGGCTAGATAGAACATCTGTATTGATGTCCTTCCCATCTTGCCAATATAGTCACAAGTACTTACTGTGCGCATTCGCAAGACTAAGCATGTATGGAGGAAATATGTTTGGGTGAAGTTTTGGGCAAATCCCCAAAGGGGGGGCGGGGTTAAACCGGCTCCCCTTTCCCGACCGGGAACCCCCCCAAAGGGGGTAGGGGGAAGGGGGGCCCAAAAAAAGGGGGGGGCCAAAAAGGGGGGGGGGGGTTTTTAAAAGGGGGGGGTGTCTTTTGGAATAAATGGTTTCAAAAAAAAGGGGGTGGGTTTTTTTAAGGGGGTAAAAAAATTTTGCATCCTTTTAAAAATCTCGGAGAAAGAGGTTTTCTAAATATAAGTATATTTATTTTTTTTTTGTTTTTTGGTTTTAAAAAAGAGTTTAATGGAAAAACTAAAAAAAGGGGAGTTTGGGGTTAAATTTTAAAACCTTTTTACAAAAAAAACCAAATTTTTGGGGGCCCCCCGGGTTTTTTTTCCAGGGGATTTTAATTTCTATTTAACGAACAAAAAAATTTTAAAAAATTTTGGCCCCAAACTGAAATTTAAATAAACTCAGAAATTTATTTCCCCAAAACTTTTTTCTTTCCCCCGATTTTCCTGTTTTCCCCTTAGGCTTATTCAAAACTCTCCCCTTTTCAACAAAATACTCCTCCCTCTCTTCCCCTTTTCCCCCCCTTTTTTAACCCCTTTTTCCCTTCCCCCCCCCCTTTTCCTTTCCCCTCCCCTTTTCCCCCTTCCCCCTTTCCCCCCTTTTTTTTCTTTTTTCCCCCTTTTTCCCTTTTCCCGGGGTTTTTTTTTTTTTTTTTTTTTTTTTTTGGGGCCCCCCCCCCCCCCTTTTTTTTTTTTTTTTTTTTAAAAAAAAAAAAAAAAAAAAAAAAAAAAAAAAAAAAAAAACCAAAAAGGGAAAAAAATAAAAGAGAAAAGGGGGGAGGGAAAAAGGGGAAAAAAGGGGGGGGGGGAAGGGAAAAAGGGGGGAGGGAGAAAGGGAAAGGGGGAAAGGAAAAGGGGAAAAAGAGGAAAAAAAAAATAAAAGGGGGAAAAAAAAAAGAGAAAAAATTTTTTTTAGGGGGAATCAATCTTTGTTATTTTGATATTCCATTTTTTGTTATATTTTAATATATTTTTTTCCCAAGAAACAGTAGTGGCCCCAAGGGAAAAAAAAAATTATCAAAAATGGCCAGGGGGAACAGTTTTTTTTTTGGGGAAAATCTTTGGGGGGTGGCTTTTTTTGAAAGAATAATCGAAACAGTTAAAAAGAAAAATTTGGTTTGGGAGTAAAAAAAAAAAAAGGATTTTATTGGGTTTTGGCCCAATTTTGATTTTGGAAAAAGCTTCAAAAAATTGTTTTAAAAAAGTTGGGTTTTTTTTTTCCCCCCCTTTTCCCCCTCTCCTCTCTTCCTTCTCCTATCTTTTCTCGTCTACTATAGCATACTATATACTATCATCTACTCTATCTTTCTCTAAGAGAGATCAGTCAGTGGCAGCCTGAGCAGAGAAGATGATTCATACAGTGAGATGACAGTCCTAGCCGGTACAGTAACAGTTCAATAATGATAGGGGAATCACTGCTGGTGAGGGCTGACTCTGAAATGGAAGTGAATGCGCAAACTAGCTGTAAATAATGTTCAGTAATATATTCATTGCACGTTGCTACGCTAAACAAATCATTGGCATGTAGCTAGCTGGCTAGCTAGCTAGCAAGCAGAAGTTCAATGATGATGAGAGACAAGAACTTCAACAATAATGATTTGATAAATAATGTATGAATAGGCAAAAAACTGCTGATTGTCAAGTCAATAATATAATGTTAACGTTAGTTATGGAAGATAAATAGGCTAACGACGTTAGATAAGCACACAATGAGGCTTATATTAACCCCCGCTGTACCAAACCAAATGCTAGGCAAGAAGCATGGCGAAATAATGTTGTTTACTTTTTTAATTTGGGCTATGACAGTCCATTACAAATCAGTCTGGCAGTACTTTTGACAGTATTTCAATCTGAAGACAGTATGGTTTGAAGTGATTGAAATGCATCAGAAAGGCATTGGGAAGTTGAGAAGATCATCAGGTCCTAATTGTGTATGATATTCTGTTGATGAAGTTCTGGTTCCCCCAGTCTGATTTAGTACCTGGTCTTGTCCACTCTGTTCTAATGAGTCCTGCGCGGCTTGTGGCCAGTGTAGAGGGGAACAGAATAGACATACAGTGGGGGAAAAAAGTATTTAGTCAGCCACCAATTGTGCAAGTTCTCCCACTTAAAAAGATGAGAGAGGCCTGTAATTTTCACAATAGGTACACGTCAACTATGACAGACAAATTGAGAGAAAGAAAATCCAGAAAATCACATTGTAGGATTTTTTATGAATTTATTTGCAAATTATGGTGGAAAATAAGTATTTGGTCACCTACAAACAAGCAAGATTTCTGGCTCTCACAGACCTGTAACTTCTTCTTTAAGAGGCTCCTCTGTCCTCCACTCGTTACCTGTATTAATGGCACCTGTTTGAACTTGTTATCAGTATAAAAGACACCTGTCCACAATCTCAAACAGTCACACTCCAAACTCCACTATGGCCAAGACCAAAGAGCTGTCAAAGGACACCAGAAACAAAATTGTAGACCTGCACCAGGCTGGGAAGACTGAATCTGCAATAGGTAAGCAGCTTGGTTTGAAGAAATCAACTGTGGGAGCAATTATTAGGAAATGGAAGACATACAAGACCACTGATAATCTCCCTCGATCTGGAGCTCCACGCAAGATCTCACCCGTGGGGTCAAAATGATCACAAGAACGGTGAGCAAAAATCCCAGAACCACACGGGGGGACCTAGTGAATGACCTGCAGAGAGCTGGGACCAAAGTAACAAAGCCTACCATCAGTAACACACTACGCCGCCAGGGACTCAAATCCTGCTGTGCCAGACGTGTCCCCCTGCTTAAGCCAGTACATGTCCAGGCCCGTCTGAAGTTTGCTAGAGTGCATTTGGATGATCCAGAAGAGGATTGGGAGAATGTCATATGGTCGGATGAAACCAAAATAGAACTTTTTGGTAAAAAACTCAACTCGTCGTGTTTGGAGGACAAAGAATGCTGAGTTGCATCCAAAGAACACCATACCTACTGTGAAGCATGGGGGTGGAAACATCATGCTTTGGGGCTGTTTTTCTGCAAAGGGACCAGGACGACTGATCTGTGTAAAGGAAAGAATGAATGGGGCCATGTATCGTGACATTTTGATCAGTCTTACAGTCTCGTGAGATTTTGATCAGTCTTACAGGGGGGGGGGGGGGGGGGGGGCTGATGACAGGGGAAAGAGAAAGAGTGTGAGGAAAAGTGAGAGGATGAGATAGTGGATGGGGAGGAGGAGAGAAAGACAGTACAGGAGAGAGGGATAGAGGGAGAGACTGTAAGACTGGTTGAGACTGTAAGACTGATCAAGGAGATCATCAGCAAGGGCATTGAAGATTAAACGTGGCTGGGTCTTTCAGCATGACAATGATCCCCAAACACACCGCCCGGGCAACGAAGGAGTGGCTTCGTAAGAAGCATTTCATGGTCCTGGAGTGGCCTAGCCAGTCTCCAGATCTCAACCCCATAGAAAATCTTTGGAGGGAATTGAAAGTCCGTGTTGCCCAGCGACAGCCCCAAAACATCACTGCTCTAGAGGAGATCTGCATGGAGGAATGGGCCAAAATACCAGCAACAGTGTGTGAAAACCTTGTGAAGACTTACAGAAAACGTTTGACCTGTGTCATTGCCAACAAAGGGTATACAGTGATCCCTCGCCACTTCGCGGTTCACTTATCGCGGATTCGCTATTTCGCGGATTTTCATAATGCATTTTTTTTTTTTTGGTGCATTGTGCTCTGCATTCTGATTCGCTAAAAACTCACTCCCGCTTCTTGTATCAAAACATGCTACGAATTGTGCTATCATTTTGTCGTCTCGTGCAGTTATGTGTACGTACATAAAACAGCTTGGCAAATTTACATTAAGTTGGCCAAATTATCTTGTAATTTCGAACATCTCCTAAACCCATAATGTCGACGAAACGGCCTGGACCGACAAAAGCACCTGCGGATGGGCCCAAACGGCGGAAGATGCTACCTATCTCAGATAAAGTTAAACTTCTGGACATGCTAAGGGAAGGTAAATGACAAAGCCACAAAGCGACGATGAAAGAGAAGAGGGAGAAGAGGACACGAGAGATGAGGAGGAAGGACTAACGCTTGGTCGCTTAGCAACCATGGTGCGAATGGCCACTGAACTTAAGCGAGTAGCTGAGGAATGGGACCCTTTGATGAGCCGTTCATTACAGTTCTCCAACGTAATCGATGGTGGCATGTCGATGTACAAGGATCTTTTTGCAAAGAAGAAAAAAGAGCGACAACAGCTGCCTATCACTATGTTCTTCTCCCGAACAAACACACCTGCACCGCGGGCTTCAGAAGAAGAGAACACTGCAGAGCGCAGTCAGGATGCAGCGGCCCAGTCTGAAGAGCAGTGAAACGGCCTACACGTGAGTCACTGTATTTGTATACATGTAATAGTTGCTAATTGTAAAAAAAAAAAGTTTTCTATTTCGCGGATTTCACTTATCGCGGGTCATTTTCGGAACGTAACCCCCGCGATAAACGAGGGATTACTGTATAACAAAGTATTGAGAAACTTTTGTTATTGACCAAATACTTATTTTCCACCATAATTTGCAAATAAATTCATAAGAAATCCTACAATGTGATTTTCTGGAAAAAAAATATCATTTTGTCTGTCATAGTTGACGTGTACCTATGATGAAAATTACAGGCCTCTCTCATCTTTTTAAGTGGGAGAACTTGCACAATTGGAGGCTGACTAAATACTTTTTTCCCCCACTGTACGTGTTCCTGCGAGTATTATTTTTCAGCGATGGGGTCATAACATTTTGTATCTCAAACAGTTGAAAAGATAGAGACACATTTGTAGGAAGAAAACAGATACCGCTCTGTTTATTACAACCGTATCTAGCGGCTAATGGAGGTTACTGACGTAACCCGGTTCTATGAACCAAGCG